GTATTATAGGTTTTTGTGGATGCCCCCAAATGTGATAAGTCATCTATAAAGCTCTTCAGAAGCCACCACTTAAGTGAAGGTCCACTTTGCTTTGAACATACTAATCCAACTTAGCAGGCACTCTTGGGTGCAGCTGCCTTAGTGCCTTCAGTAAGGGTTCCCCGGACCGTGTGCATTGATGGGAAGGCGAGGGGTAGAAGTGGGCAGCTAGCAGCCTTCAGCCCGCATCTTCAACTGTACAGATGCTGGGGAAGGGAGAGCTAAGGCACCTTTAAAAGACACAAGTGCAACATGAATCTTTTCATCTGAAGGAAAACATCTCCAAAAAACATCCTGCATGAGCAGGGGTAGTGGCGGGCAGCGAGTGGCAGGAGTGTCACTGTGGCTCACTGACAAAGTAGGGGAGTGAGTTCTGCAAAACTGGAGAACTAGTGAGTGAAAACAGAGATGCTGACAAACCTATTCTAGCCAGGTCTAAATTAGAAATTGGCCAATGGAAAAAATGATGATGGACTCCCTAATAAATTCCAGTGTGAATTCTTTAAATTCATGGGCCTAATGGACCAGCAATATGAAAGTGGCCCTGGGGATGAGCAGGCTATGGCCATGTGGAGTGGGGATGGGGGGCCGCAGGAAACTGCTTACTAGAAACATGGTGGCTGAGTTGTGGGGCTGGGAATCCAGTGGGGACAGGAGGCTGTACCCTTGATCCTCACCCTTACATCATCTTTTCCCTTTCCCTTGTCTCTCTGGACCCTCTGCTTGCTCTGTGAATCTCGATTGCTCCCTACCTTTCTCCCCCCAACCCCTGGATTGGAGACCCTGATGACAGAGGCTTCCAGCTATGCTGCTGTCAGGTACTGTGGCAGCTGCTGCTGGGTTGGTGTCTGGAGAAGGGCAAAGCCAGGGCTGTGCTTGACCTTGGTTTGAAGGTGATTGTCCTACAGATCCCCTTGGCATCATGCTTTTCTCTCACTTGTGTCTGTGCCTTTGCCTCTAAAATCTTAGTCTTAATTAGGCTGTGTTTACATTTGTGCCATACATGTGGTCTGGCACTTGAAGACAGGATAAAGAGTTACACAAATATTTAGAATCCAAGAATGCCAGTGAGGAAGGGCCCTGGAGGCCAGCCATGGTGATGCCCTCATTTGGCTTTGTTCTTGTGTTGTGAAGCAGCGACCCTGCAGATGGGCAGGAAAGACAGGCAAGAGGACAGCAAATATTATATTTTCCTTCCTAAGATAGGAGAAAAAACCCAGAGGGCTTTTGGAAAATCTGGAAGGATAAGAAAAGCATCCTTTATTAATTGGATCGCACCTACTGTTGACCTTGAGAGTGATGAGCGCCCTATTCCTGCCAAGCCCAGCAGTTCCCAGCCAGATGGGCACACTGGACAGAAGCGCCCTGGGACAAGTGCCAAAGCCACTTGTCACTAAGCGTCTGAGCAGCCTTGGGGGATGCACCAACCCTTCCTTGAACTGCTTCCAGGCCCTGGAGAGGCCGAAGTGAGAAAATGTGTTATACACTGTGCAGTTTATCCAGACAGGGGGATGGTGAGTAAATAATCTCACGTTCATGAACAGCACCAGCGTTCCCACTCTGCTGGTACTTGCCCTAAGGGGTGGTGGCATTGTGCAGAGCAATCATGGCCAGCATGGCCCAGTCTGGCCAGTTCCCTTTGTTTCGAGGGTGAGCTATGTACATGATTTGTTCTCTTCAGTGTTGTTTTGGTTTGGACAAAGTCAAAAGCTGTGGGTTTTCTGAGTTGTGTTTTTCTGCCTTTGTCATTCTCTTGGCCAGTGGCAGTGAGAATCTGCTCAGTACTACTTCTAAGCTATCCATCCGCATGTCTGCCAGTGCTTCATGCCCTGTGGTGACAGGCTTAGCGTCTCTTTTAGGATCAGGGAAGCTTAGATGCTGCTGATGAGCAGTCTATGAAGGGAGCGTCATGAAAGACACCTGTTGACCATGTGCACACTGCAGCTCTAGGTCTCTGTCAACCCTGTGCCACTTGGGTTGGGACTTGCTTTTGGAAAAGTTCATAAGGATATTTCTAACTTTGGAAGTCCTGAGGTCACATGGCTCCCTGATAACATTCACCTTCTGCCTCCTCAGTGCCCGGGATTCACTCTGCCTTCTCATTCATTCGTTGCTAACTACATACTGCAGTCTAACAGCCAGGTTGACTGATGGATGTCTGGCATTTACTATTAGTAGGCATAGAGGTGTTCAAACTCTTGCCAATATTCATGGCATTTTTCCTAATAAGTTTCATGAGTTTTCTAGGTGTGGAGATGCTTTTGGGGGAAAAAAAGTGAAAACCTTTAAGGAAGAACCATACATTCTCTGGGATCAGCTTAATTGAGCTGAGAACAGGAAGGGTTTATGAAGGTTTCGAGTCACCTCCTTTTGGTGTCCTGGTATGCCCTATGTACATATTCAGTTTCAGGGGCTTCACAGGACAGTGATTACCAGTCACAGTAGGTGGGAATTTTGTTAGTCTGTTTTGGGTACCAGAAATTTAACTCAGGGACGCTTAACCACTGAGCCACATCCCCAGCCCTGTTTTGTATTTTATTTAGAGACAGGTTCTCAGTGAGTTGCTTAGCATCTGGCTTTTGCTGAGGCTGACTTTGAACTCACTAGCCTCCCGCCTCAGCCTCCTGAGCCTCTTTACGGCTAAAGTTCCCACTTAGGTCAATTGCTCTCTGAAGTTTGAACTTCCTTGTCATCTGGTTTTCTTTTCAAATTGATATGCTCCAGCCTGAAGTTTTCTCAAACTCCTGCCTTTATAAAATGAATCTCTCCCCATGCATATCTGAAGCCCTAATAATATCCATTTTCTTTAGAGCAGGTCTGCTCTGCCTAGGATTGCTACCTCTGTAGCATGTACGGTGTCCATTCACTAATGAGGACAGTGGAGTCCTTGTCACTGGCTTTTTAATTTACACCCACATTAAACTTGATTTGCCCACACCCTTCTGGATTTATATCCTGAACCCAAATATAACCCTGAATTTGACAGAAGTAACAGACAGAGCTGCTGAGGGGGGCCCACCTGGGCTTCGACAGCAGACAGGCCTGTTCTCAAACTCCTCTCTTTATTTCCAGCCACGGGACCTTAAGCAAATAGTGCAACCTTTCTGTGCCTCTATTTCTTCATCAGTGAAATGAGGTGGCCAGGAGAATTCAGTGAGATGACATTTATCTGGTGCCCATTGCAGTGTGGCACAGAGAGCCATTATTAGCGCTGTAGGCAAATCAGTTCACCTGTGGCCTGCGGCCCAGGCCTCCCACCTTCTCGGTTCCTTTTAGTGGTCTGTGTTCGCCTCCTGTGTTTTCTCCTTTCCTTCTCTTGGCATATGAACAAATCTGGCTCACCTGTTTTAAAACATCCTTCCCTGGACCCTGGCCCAAGCCACAAATCAGATCAGGACACATTACCAGTGAAAGTGTTTAATAGTTAAATTATTTAAATAGACTTTTCAATTTCCATGGGAAATCATAATTGTATCCGTTTTTGCAAGAGCAGGAATAAAAAGAGTGCACACCCCTTAGAGGGAACAAAGAGCTAGCACTGCACGCTGTCACCAGTCACTGCTGGGATGGGGAGGGCCCCACGAGGCCGAGACCAACAGCGGGAACACGGGATGAACTCAGCACGCACACTTTACTCAGGCCGGAAGCACCACTGGCAGGCCATATGGAGGACAGGGGACTTGAGAATGACGCTGCGGGAGAGAGCAGCCCCGCGTCAGGGGCTGGAGGAGTGATGCAGAACTCAAAGGTGGAGTGTCAGAGGCTTGGGACACACTCAGACTTGGCAGTTTGGGGTCCATATGCTTTGCTTCTCAGAGCTGCACTCAAATTGGGGTGGGGGGGCGTAGGAGGGGAAGGTGCTGCGGTGGACATAAAGGACGGTCTCAATAGCCAGCAAATAGCTGCCGTCCAGTCTCCTTCCAAGTGTCCAGGAAGAATAATTCTGCCCTGAGAAGCAATGAAAAGATCTGGGAACAGGTCCTAAGGATGCTGCTTAAATACAACTCTGTGCTAGTACACCATTTTTCAAATGCCTCCCTCAAAAGTTATAAAAAATAGTTTTTTTTCCCCTTCATGTATTGAACTGCTCCCTTCCCACCCCTCAAATAAAAACTAGTCAAAATGACACTTCTGCTGCTTTTCCTTCAGATTCCAAGACTGGGCTCTACCCATTCCTCTGTCTGGTTTACAGGTAGAGGGCAAGGTTACACCCTTTCCCCAAACCTGAGACCTACACATTGCATTCCCAGGTTACAGGGATGGTGTCCAGGGAGAGCCACCTGCCCCTTGGCCAGCTAAGCAGACTGGCAGGCTAGACTTCCTCCCAGCCCTGGCCCATCCCTAAGCTCCCAGGAGTCCTTAGGTGCTGCCTCTGCAGGCACGAACATCTGACATCCCCAGGAGCAGAAGAACAGGTGGGGGCCATGCTGCCCACACAGACTGAAGCTGTTCCCCTTGTTTCCAACCTCCTGGGATGGGAAAGAAGTGGCTGTTTTCTTCTTATCATTTCCATCTGCTTTTACTCAGTGGAAGTGGGTTGTCTCTTTGCCTTTGTGTTAGAAAAGAGAGAGGGTCAAGTGTGTCTGCTTCTTCCTCCTTGATCTGAATGTAGGGTACCCCAAAAGAACACACACTGCCCCTGGGAAAACCAAAACTGCCGAGTCTGAGGTGAGGAAGGTCCCTGCAGGGCAGCCGCATGGCATGAACACACGCACATGTGCACCAGGACACACGCCGACGTAGGTACAGTACAAGTGAGCACAAACGCCCCTGTGCACAGCTGTTTTCTAATATAGAGAATTTACAAAATATAGAATTTGGTATATCTGTTAGATCTCCAAGGCTTTCAATAATACAAAATAAAAAATACAAAAGACAACTTGGGGTCCCCCCTCCCCCCCAGTGGCATCCTCTTCTGCTTGTGTCTCCTACACGCATAAAACTAGCATAGTCTAAAGAAGGGCACAGAAAACTTGTTTTGTTTTATTTAATAAATATTTTCTTTTTCTCAGAGCCACCACTGCTTGCTTGGCGTCCTCTCGCCTCCCCCTCGTAATGAGTCCTGTTTCCCTCACTGGGCACAGTCTGTGTGCGTGGACGCATGGGCAGAGGATGGCGGCGAAGGCCACGGCTCCTACAAACCCAGCTCTCCTGCCTCAGAGCACCGCCAGGAAGCAGGGGCTGCAGCCTCTGTCTGAAGTTTAAAGGCTCATGTGGAAAACAGACCCCCGGGGGACCCCGAGTACCCCCAGGGCAGCGTCCAGCCCGCCTTCCCACCCACCTAGGCTGAGGCCCTCCGCGGGCCTGCCGCTGTGCGCTGGGCTGGGAAAGCTCCAGCAGCGCCCTCCACCCTTCAGCGGCAGCACCTGTCAGAGAACTCGAGGCTGAGCTCAAGTCCGGCGGAGTCTTCTGCAGAGGGAAACATCTTTGGTCAGCTTGGTGCTCGCAGGACGCTGGCACCCAGGGCCTGGGCCGGAGGCCACGCCCACCAGCCAGGGCAGAGGCTGCTTCCAAGTCAAAGTGGGAAATCTCACCAGCGCGACCACGTGGCTGGAGCGCAGGCTCCCCACCTGCCCACGCGGCACACAGAGAAGCCGCTTCCGTTCCTCTGGAGGCCAGGCTGCTGGCACCACTGCTGGCAGCTGCTAACTCAGAGGGGGCCCTCCATTGAGGAAGTAGGTCATCATCTCGCCTTTCCCCTTGACCTTGACCACACCGCGGCACTCCAGCTGGTATGTGTTGGCAGCCAGCACCTGGTACATGTCCGTAGTGACCTGAGGAGGCAAAGCAGGAGAGAGGACAGATCACTGATGACCTTAGCCATGAACTGCAATGGGGACAGAGCCACCCCTGACTCCCACACACTGCTGATGCCCCTGCTCTTCCACAGAGGGGATATTGGGGACTGGCAGGGACCTGTCCATGGAAGATGGAATGAGAATGATGAATGAGAATGATGGCCACTGTGGTTCTCGGCACTCACTCTGCCAGATGCTGTGACAGGCGCCTCACATGTGCTATTCAGTGCTACTCAAAAGTGTGGCCTGTGGCCCCTAACAGCTTAGGTGCAGTCCAGAGAGTCAGAGGCAGAGAGTAATACTTTGGAACCTTCAGAGCAATGGTGACATTGTTGCACCCAACAGCCAGGTGTGTGACCAGTGTCTTTCATGGAAGTATCACTCCATGACAGAGAAGAAAGGTTTTTAAAAACTGGTTTTCACTATAGATGTTTGAGAACAACTGCTTATCTCATTTCATCTTTATATGAAGCAATACTATTATTATCCCCAGCACCAGCAAATCTGTCACTTGCCTGAGATTATACAGTTAATAAATGACAGAGACTGGACTGGGTTCCAGGCTTTGTACATATCTCTGTGTCAGCTTTGGTGACAGAGAACTCACTGGGGCTTCACCAATGACACTGCTGGGCTAGGTGAGGAGGGAAGCAGAGTGACAGGAGCAGGAAGTGGCAGGATGGCCAAGTGCCTCACAGGATGATGCAGGTGCCTTTTCTGCTCCCACCAGCCACCACACAGTTACCCAGCCTGACTGCAAGAGGCTGGGGCAGGGGCATTGCTGTCATTAACTGTGGTGTCTTCACAATGAGGCCCCAGTGAAGGTGCAGTGCTGGTTATTGTGGTAGCTGCTGGCAGAGGCCCTCACACCTGTCACCAGGTAGGTTAGAAGCTCTGCAGACAGCTCCCTCAGGGCCCCAGTCCCCACCCAGCCATCCCTTCTCTTCTTGGTGCAGGAGAGGAGGTGAGAGAAGGCCACATGGCCTGGCCTGACAGCATCCAGGTCAGCTGGATCTGGCCAGGACTGTGCTTGGGGTCAGTCTCCTTGTTCTCACACAGACGAGTGAGGGGATATTTAAGTAGTGTCAATGTGGACAAAATGTCTTAAAAATGGCACAATTATCACTTGAGAAAACTGAGGCCAGGAAGCTGACCTCCCACATCCTTGCAAGGAACCATACAAGAGGGCCACATAGGATGAGAGCACAGTTCGGGCCATTTTTTCAGATTGAAGTAAATCATGGAAATCCTGAGGGGGAGGAAAAGGAAAGCAGCTGAAGATCGGCAGGCCTGGGGATCACAAGTGCCAGCTCACAAAGGACAGAAAGGAAAAAGTCCCTGGGCCTCTGGCCAGGCCACTGACTGCTGCAACTGATGATGGAGCCATCCTAGGGCCCAGCAGCCTTCCCTGGTTCTCCTGAACCAAACCTAAGAGCAAGCCACACGGGCAAGACTCTACTCCCTGCAGGTGTCTTGGTGTACTCTCCGTGTGACTGGCTGGGAAGGTCCTGGGCTCCCCATGAACACTCAGCTTGTCATCACAGCCCTGCTTCTGCCTACCCGATTCCTTCTGTGCCCAGCAGAGGGCTCTGCACAACCCGAAGATCTGTCCAAGGTGCTGAGGGCCCAAAACACAATTGTGTTCTCCAAGTTTCCATGACTACAGCACCAACTGCCCCATCACCCTTGGATTTTGATCAGAAATTCTGACTGGGAGCTGTGGGCAGCCTTCCCTGAAGAACTTTTAGCATCAGACAGAGGCCTTCTCGTGGGTAACCTGGACAGTGGATGCTCTCATACTCACCTGGATGCGGTCAGGCACGCCAGTGCTGTCCATGCGGCTGGCCACGTTCACTGTATTTCCCCAGATGTCATACTGAGGCTTGCGAGCTCCAATCACCCCAGCCACCACAGGGCCGATGTTGAGCCCTGCAGGGGACATCAGCCACGTTCGTCAGGTTAAGACTGACACTTGCTTTGCTAGTCCTCGCTGGCGTCTCTCTCTCTCTCTGCACATTGCAGGTTCTCCCTCTGCCTCCTGGCCTGGTGCCAGCTTCCCCCTGCAGTCTCCCACTTCTCTGCTCTATCAAGTGCATGTTCATCCAAGACCCCAGGAACCCAGGCATACTTCAGGGCTCCTGTGTCCTCACCACAAGGTAATGCTCAGTTTCTGCAAGTCCACTGCCAGGAGTGCCCTCTTCAGGTCTCCAGTGACCTCTTGCATAATCCAACTGCCTTTTTTAAAAAATATCTTTATTTTATTTATTTATTTTTATGTGGTGTTGAGGATCGAACCTAGAGCCTTGCACGTGCTAGGCGAGCGCTCTACCGCTGAGCCATAACCCCAGCCCCTCCAATTGCTTTTTCTTAATCTTCCCTTTCTGGGTAGCTTTGAGGTGTTCACCATTGACTCAAACTCAACAGACAGAATGTGCCCCTTCCCTCTTTCTCACTCCTATTTCTGTTTGCTTCTGTTCTCATTCTTAAGACCTGCTTCTAACCCTGCCTGGGTCTCCTCTCTCTCCATGTCCTATCATGGCCACATGAAGCTTTCTGCCTTGCCTTCTGTTACCAGGTTCAACTGTCCACCTCATTGGTCATACAGAGCTCTGGAAGGCTTCTATTCCCAAAGGCCACACCTGCCAACTAAGGTGCCCCTGAGTTCGTATGAATGGATCTACTCCTCAAGGCTCCTTAGCTATCACTTGGTTGATGCTATCACTCAATCTCCAGTTTACAAAAATACACACCAGGAGAAAAATACAAAACTGTAGGTGGATAAGATGCAATGAGAACAGCAACATTACATGAAACCAAGAATAACATTAATACAAAAACAAACACAGGCCACACGTTAGTTAAAGAAGATCCCCAGCTGGCTCTGTCTGGCCTTTCTAGCAGCCAAAGAAAAATGGAAACCTGGCCAAGTCACAAAGCCCTGTGCCCACAAGACACAATAAGCAGCTCCCTCAAGAACAGCACAATTCCTGACACTCAGGCCAGAACAGAGGTCTCCTGAGGACACTCATGATCATAATATTGGTTTTCGGTAAACTAACATTTCAGTTTAATGTGCTAATTTTTAGAATTGAAATGCCAGTATTTTCTTTGGTGAATTACTTTTACTTTTTTAAAAATTTGAACTCTGAATCATTTATGGCGTGAGACATTCCCAGGGAGTTGATAATGCACGAAAACTCTGAATAGAACTGAGGTCTGCTCTTTCAGAAAGCATTTCCTGCCTCCACAGATCTCAAGAGGAGGAAGAGGACAACACTTGACAAAGTTTCTATTGCAAAAATAACTTGCACTCTGTCAGACTGTACATCCTTGGTAAGATATACTCCCAGAGCTGGATGTGGGTTGTACACCTGTAATCCCTCCTAACCCAGAGCCTGAGGCAGGAGAATGGCAAATTCAAGGCCAACTTGGGAAACCTGGTGAGACCTGTCTCAAAATAAAAGATAAAATGGGCTGGGGATGTAGTTCAGTGGTAGGGTGCTTGCCCAGCTTGTGCAAAGCCCTGGGTTCAATCCCCAGTACAGCAAAAATAAAATAAAAATATGTTCTAAGGACAAACAAACTGCAGAAATGCCTTGAGCTTTATGGAACAACCCATCCAGAACTGTAATTTGGAGATCATTTTGTGGATGGAGCGGGGCGGGGCTGGGTAGGTATGTGAGATGCACCTGGGTTTTCACTGTACTGTTCTTTCAATTCTGAAAGTTGAAAGTTGTCAAAAGGTTGAGGTAATAAAAACAAAATTAAACATTTTTAAAAATCCTGTTTTTGGTTCAAAGATTTTCTGAACAAGTAGAATATGGTCCTATTTTGAAGCTGACCCAGGGCTTCTCTTCTCTGATCCCCTGACTATCCTCAGCAGAGTCCCTGCTTCTGCCTCTGCACACCCTCCAGGTGTCTGTGAAGCTCTCTCAGCCAAGGACAAGTGCAGTAAGACACAGGGCTGATCATTACACACCCTCACCACGACCCCCAGTTGAGTGGAGTGCAAAAGGTTTGACACCTTGACCTAGAAAAGATTGCCTCACTGCCTGAAACTCAACAATAACCTACTGAGGGGGCTGGGTTGTGGCTCAGTGGTAGAGCGCTCGCCTAGCACGTGCAAGGTCCTGGGTTCAATCCTCAGCACCACATAAAAATAAATAAATAAAATATTGTGTCCAATAACCTACTGACCCAGTTTTTTTTTTTAATTTTTTAAGACTTCTATTTTTTAAAATGTTGAAATAGAATTGGTTCATTGTCAATATTACATGATTTTTTTTCATATTTTTCTGTCGTTTGTTTTTTGGTGCTGGGGAATTGAACCCAGAGGAACTTTACCACTAAGCCATATCCCCAACTCTTTTTATTTTTTATTTTGAGACAGGGCCTAAGTTGCTGAGGCTGGACTCAAACTTTCAATCCTCCTACCTCAGCCTCCCGAGTCACTGGGATTACAGGCATGCACCACTGCCTATAAACTTCACTTTACTCATTTTATTTTGCTAACAATTTTGCAGAAAATATGTTCAGTATTTTCATAAATTTGCAAATGTAATAACTTATCTCTTATGTTCATACATTTTTATTTAAAATGTATCAAGTATTTGATTTTACTAGTTTTCATTTTTACTCAATGAATTTGGAATACTTTTTAATAAAACTACTGTTGATTACATCAGTTTTTCTGGAAATAAATGGCCCTGCCATCTGCCCAAAGCTACCACCAGGCCCTGGAGCCCCCAGAACAGAGCATTCCCCAAAAGCCTTTGGGCAGGCACAACCTGGGTCCTATCATGCCTTCCCAATGCTTGGGTGAAGTGGGAACTCAGAAGGTAGGTGTCCTGCCTCATCACACGCAGGCCAATATGTGAGCACTGCCAGGCTGAGTGGTCAGCTCCCCACCCCTGGCCACCCCCATTGGCAAAGAGACACACTAGCATGCAGCCTCTGCTGCCTGTCACCTTCTACCACTGGATTGTAATAAATGTGGGATTTGAGGAGAGGGTCCCTGCAAGCCCTCCTTGCTCACCAATCTTCATCTGGAAGTTGTTGAAGGAGTGCTCATTGATGTACTTCATTTGGTCCATCAGCTTCATGGCGAAGTCGGCCAGGGCTTTGATGTGCGTCTTGCCCACCTTGTCGTAGGTGGAGTCGTTGAGGCCGGAGGCGGCCATGTAGGTGCTGCCGATGGTCTTGATCTTTTCTAGCTGCCTGAAACGGTCCTCGCTGATAATCTGCACAGAAGGAAACCAACCTTGGGTCAAGTCCAGGGCACTGAGCTCTATAGGGAGGGGCAGAGGAGGACCATGGGAGTATAGCAGCTTGGCCCCTCATGGTCCCCTCTTTGGTAAGGGAAAAGGCTCAATGTGAGGCCGCCCCGTCCTCTAGAACAGGCCTCCTCTGTTCTCAACTGTTGTCCAGGGAGTGTGACTTACTCACCCAACCCCACACCAAGAGCTCCTGAGGACAAGGGCACGGGTTGCCACTGGGTCTCATGCCCCCAACGGGCTGGACGGCTGGAGCCCCTTCAGAGGTCCTCACCCCCTCACTTAGGGAACCCTCCTCATCTCTGACTAGCAAGACATCCTTTTCCCATGTCCTTCTGCTGGAAGCCTCCCCGGAGCCCTTCATCTACCCGCTGCCCCAGAGCTCTTGTGGGCTTCTTCTAACACTGCCAGGACCCAGCTCTGCCTGTGCCCTGTGTCCAGCCCGGGCATCCCTGCTGCGCTGTGCCTCCCAGACTCCCAACAGGATCGAGGCTGGTCAGCTCACCAAGCTCGAGAAATGAAGAAGCAATGTCTGGCTGCCACCTCCCCTGCCCTGGGCCTTGTGTCTTTGCTCTGCCCTCTTCCTTCACCAAGTGGCTCCTCCTTCCTCTGATTCTCTAAAAACTCTGGCTGTCCTGGGCACTGGGACCCTGAAGGTTCATATAGTCTGGGCCCAAACCCCAGCCCTGTCCCTTAACCCCAGCCCTGGCCCTTATAGGCCTTGACCTTAGGCAAGACACACAAGGTCTGTGGGCCTCTGTTTTCTCATCTGGAACCTGTGACAAGGTGCCTGAGACAGAACAGCCCTGGGACACCTTCAGGCTCTTGCCATCAGGGCTCCTGTCAGCACCGCTCACACCCACATGGAGGAGAGAGCCCTGGGGACTCAAAGGACTCCCAGAGGCACCTCGTCAAAGTCGGCAATGATCTCGTTGAGCAGCCGCAGGCACTCCACGCCCTCGTTGTTGGCCTCCAGCTCCACGTAGAACTCGGAGAAGTTGGCGATGGAGGCGAACATGACGGCCACGCACTCGCAGGACTGGTAGTAGAGCTCGTCATTACGGCGCTCCCGGGCCAGGAAGTGGGCGGCCACGTCCTTGGGCAGGATGTTGTGCAGCAGCCGTCGGTTGTAGGCCTGCAGCTCCTCCATCTCCTCCTTCTCCTCTGTGGCCTGGGGACAGAGGACTCGGTCAGGGGGTGGGGGAGGGGCTACAGCTCTGCTTAGAATGAGACAGGAATCGCACCAACACCAACACCAGGCGCCGGCTGTTTCTGTGGTCTCTCTGCTTCCAAGTGTTCTCTAAAGAGCATTATGTCGGCCACCAGAAGAAATGGTCTACTTCTTGGAAAGTGACGCACATCAGGGATTGGTCCCAGAGGAGGGAAGCGCAGAGTAGATGCAGGTCCCAGAGGAGGAGCTGAAAGTCTCCTGTCTGCCCAAGCCTGGCACTAGACTCCAGGGGAAAGGGAGAGTCCAAAATCCACACCCCAAATAGGCTGCTGACTCCCTGAGACCTCTTTACCTTTCATTTTTCCTCTTAAAATCAAAGAATGCACTCAGAAAAGCATCTTGCCAGGGCAACTTCAACCCACTGGTCACGGGGGGAAATGGCCCAGAGTCCTGCCCATCTCATTCCTATGAGAACAGCCTCCAGTGCCAGATGCAGCCAGGAGGGACAGGCGCCACCAGGTGTCAGCCAGGGCAGGAAGGAGACATCCCCTTAACTTTGGTTTCCCCCCAGTTTTGGTCATGGATCTGTACAGTTGGAGTTTGTGGTCACTCACCCTCCAGGTAAAGGGACAGTGCAGAGTCCTTGGGTCAAGAGACCAGTAGCAGCCACAAGGAACTGAAGCAGAGAAGCAGTTATACACCGAGGTGTGGCCAGGACCCTCTGACCAGAGTGGTCACAGGATGTGGGATTACAGGGTGGAGTCACCTGGCTTCCTCACCCTTGATAGCAGACATACATCCCCCACCAACTGGGAAGGTCATTAGCAGATGTCTTTTTACTCAGCAGCAACTAGATTTCCCACGGGCCAGGGCTGCTTTGCTCTGGTATTCCCTGTGCAGCGGCTGCCCGTGGGCTAGGAGCTGGCACACCATCCCACGTCTATAGACCTGGGTCCAGCGGGGAGAGCCCAAGGACAGAAGACCTGAGACCAAGGCTCGCTACCAAGGTATGAAGATGTCCTGGTTATACTGTCCACAGCCTGGTGGACTCCTGGAGACACTGGCAATGCAGCTTCAAAAATCAGGGTCATGCTTGAGGAAGCTCCTGGACCCTAAAGGGCCCCAGCCTCCACCCACTACCTTCAGAAGCCAGGTGAGTGCAGCTGTTGGGTGCCATCTTCCTGTCCAGCATTCCGGCCAGGTGACTTATGCTCCTGTGAGGTGGGGCTTTCAGCCCAGGCTCTTCTTCAAGAACAAAGGCCACCTGTTCCCACTCTGCAGCAGGTTGCATGAGAGGGTGGGAGTCCCTCTACCTCCCCTTGTGGGCTAATCATATAGGACCCCAGGCAGTTGTCCGTCAGCTTCTGCGAATGCACAGGGCACTCACTGTCCTGCCTCAACCTGCTCAGACCCTGTCCCTGGGGCCCTGAGCACTCCAGTTCCTTCTATCCACCCACGGGCAGCAGGGACAGGACATGAGCCTCCCTTAGAGAGCATCTACCCAAAGCATCAGCATAGAGTGGAGGCTTTAGAGCAGGGCTGCCGGGGACGGAGGCCAATCCCCCAGGTGGGCCAGGCACTCCTGCCTCGTCTGGGGAACTCCACCCCAAGCAGGTTGGGCAGCTGCCCACATGGCCAACAGCTGCTTGGAGTGGAGTTCCACAGCCTCTTGGTAGTCCTAGGAGACCCATACTGGAGGAGCAGGTAAGGGTGGGGAACCAAGACAACCATTAGGCCACGAGGGGGCGCTGTGTGAGAGGGCATGTTCCTGGGCGGCCCCTCCTCTGTCAGCACACACCACAGGTGGAACAGTAAAGGGGCTGCTGGGCGAGCCTGGGGAGCATATGGTGACAATTACCCCCCTTCCTGAGGCCTGCTGTCACGTTTCTGTTTACTGCTGTATGTTGTCCTCCAAGTTGCAAAATGCCCAGGAAAAGAATGGGAGCTGGAGGGACCTGCCAGTTGGGGAGCTTCTGTGGACAGGGCTGACACAGGCTTGCGACAGGCTGAGTCAGTGGCTTCCCTCCTGGCACAGGGTCCTCAGGGCCTGAGAAAGCAAAGTGACAGAGGGAGGGGCCCCAGTGTGCAAAGAGGCAAAAGGGCCAAGAAGAGAGGGGGAGGATCAGCAAGAGGCTGTGGGGTTGGGAGGCCAGCACTGAGTGAATGGATCACTTTAGGAGAGTGATTTGGGCGGGTTTCTCTCTGGCATAGGGCAAGCTACAAAGAAGCCTGAGGCACAGGTCTTGAATGGAAGAGCTGGAGTGAGTAATGGTTTTTATAAATCTATGTACATAGACAGATGCTGGTGTGGTACGTTTGCATGCAACCCTGCATTTCTGCATGTTTACATCAACTTCATGTGTTTCCCGGCTTTGGCCCTGGAGATGAACCTGTTAATAGTTTGGATCTGGAATCCCCACCAAAGGATCATGTGCTGAAGGCTTGGTCCCCAGCTGGTGGTGCTTCTGGGAGATGGTGGAAAGTTTGGGAGGCAGGGCCTAATGGAAGGAAGCCTTCACAGTGGTGTCTTGTCCCTGGGCCCTTCTCTTCTTTCTCTGCTTCCTGGTTGCCATGAGGTGAACTTGCTCTACCACGTGTTCCCAGCCATGAGGTTCTGCCTTGCCACAAGCCCAAGCCATGAAGCCAAGAACCATGGACTAAAATCTCTGCAACCATGAGGCAAAATAAATCTTTCCTCCTTTAAGTTGATTTTCTGAGAGATTTTGTCACAGCAACAGAAAACGGACACAGATCCAGAAGTAGCAAGCCCACTAAGCACTCAGTTCTTGGTTTCTAAATACCACTCTCCACTAAGAGCAAGGGCTCTTTGAAGAAATCACTGATTCCTGGGCTGGAACAGGAAAAATGTCAGGTAAGCTTGAGACATCTCATTGTGCCAAGAAGTCAGGAGATGCCCAAAGAGTGCTAGTGGCAGTTCAAATGACAAGGAAGTCAGCTTGACGAAATGCACACTAGCCAAACCTAGGGCGATATGAGCATTAGAATAATCTGAGTGGCAGATGATAACCCACTGGATTACACAGGTGTCTGTGAGTCTGCACTGACATAAACTAAGTGAATGAATGGGCCTTGAATGGGAAGATCTCCCTAAGGACCACATACCTTGGAGATAAAAGCTATACTGCATGCAACATAATCAACAGAAGGGACAACCATATGCCCCATTGGCACTTGACACCCAACCAAAAGCCTCCTGCCCCCAGCCAAAGACTTCAACCTCCATGACGGTGAGTGGTGTGGATGGAGGAGTTCTAAGCAAGCCCTGGGTGAACTGATATGGTCTGGAATGGGTCAGACCTTGCCAGGGGTTTGATTCAAAGGACCCACAAAGAAGCTGGCATTGTTTTGTGAGTGCCCTAGAATGCACTCTCCTGGAGACTCTGGGGTGGCCTTAAGACTGTGGCTACCAAGAGCACCACCTTCACCTGGTCCGTTGGCATCCCATCCTGCAGGTGGACACTGTCCTCAGGGTGCAGGGTCACAGCCTGGAGAGTCAAGCACCAGTTGCATTTCTGCTTTCAATGCAACCAACACAGGTCAGAGCCATGACCTTGGCCACCCCACCACCCTGCCCCTGAGTCCAGCTGGGCTTCCTATTGATTCCTTTGGTTCTTCCTCCTCTGGAGGAGTCTTCATGCCCAGCTGTGGTCATATCAAGCCTGCACAGAAGCCTCTGGTGGCAGCCCCCACCAGCCCAGGATCCTGCCAGCTCCCACCCTCCTCACCTCCTGCCCCTCCTCCTCACATGCCTGGACACCTTGCTGCTCTCCCTACAGGCTGACTGGCCCACCCCCAGTGTCCCTGCTGCAGACATGCACAGGAACTGCTCGGGCAGTGTGTGCTGACTCCATGCGCACCTCCTGGGCTCAGAGTCCCTGTACTATTGGGGTGGGTTCATCTGGAATATGCTCCAGGGCTTTGCCTCTCAACCCTGGAAAGCAGGCAGCAGATCCTGGGATGTGGGGCAGTGGTTATTTGGGATGAGACCCGAGAGGACACCTTGTCAGTGTAGGATGAAGGTCCAGGCCAGCCCAGTGAGTGCCGTGAGGTCCAGCTGCTCCCCACCCAGCTGTAGTCCCAGGGCCATTCACCTGCAGTTTCCAGAGGAAGTCAAGGCGGGCAGTGGACTCCACCTGCTGGGCATGCAGGTACAGGGCCAGCACGAAGACTGAAATGATGATGGGCGTCACCACCTTCAGGGCCACCTTGGTCGCGTGCTCAGGGCTGCAGGAGTGAGGTAAACAGGCCTGAGGCCACCCTGGCACTCAGGCAGGCTCCGAAGACCCCCCAGGCTTTTTTCTTCCTCCCAGGACAGCTGCCACTCAAACTCTGCCTGAGTGAACCTCCTCTGGGAAGCCTTCCTGCAACTCAGGCAGCTATGGCCCCTCTCCTGGCACCTTATGCCCCCATCACTCAGGTGCCCCCTGGTCACCTCAGGAGATGAACTCAGCCCTTCCACAAGGCAGCGTGGATGCCAGGTCTTTCTCAGAGGACAAGGCAGGACAGTGTGCACAGGAACAAGGGAGCCAGGAAACACCTGCTGTCCCTGTCTCTGGGGTACCTTAGACTCTTAAGTTTCCTCATCTGTAACATGGGGAAAGAATATCCACACTGCAGGGCTGTGGGAAGGACTGAAGATTCTGTATAGGAGGTGCTCAGTGCAGCACCCGACACACTGGGAATCGGCAAACTGGTGGCTATTGTTTCTAATTATATTTCTGTTAACATTGACAAAGATACCAAACAAAAGCTGCCATTCCAAACACTGCTCCTTGCACCGGTGCAGAGCCAGAGGCCTAATACTGCCCAGAGCTTCCCTCCAGCAGCTCGGAGCCTTGGCTCTGCATAGAGGGAAGCAGGCCCAGTTCCTGCTCCTGGGGGAAAGCCTGAGGCTAGATGCTTTAAAATGAGGCCTGAGGCCCTGATAACCCTGGCTACTAAGGCTATTGGTCACCAGAATGTAGTAAAGAAGTGTCTATCCCACCTGGGCTGCTTGCTCCCCACCGGGGCCTCCCTGCTCACTCCAGCCTCCTCTACCACCCAACTTGTTGCCAAGGCCCCTCCCACCTGGGTCTGAGTTGCCTTCTCTGCAGCTCTGTGCCAAGGGCACGGAGGGCCTGTCAAAGTGGGGTGTTAACTCACCACTGGGAGGTCCCGTTGTTGCTCAAGTCTCTGCGAAGGGAAGTATGGGGAGACAGTTCAGATCTTTTTTTTTGGTGTAAGGCAGCCTCCAGTCCTGTCCTCCTATGGCCCACCCTGCTGCCTTCCCCCACGCCATGCTCTTCTGCCCAGTGCCAATCTCTGTCCCCCAGTCCTGCTCTGCTGCTCCTTTGTCCCTACCCCAGCACCCAGGGGCATTCCAGCTGGGAGGCTTATGCAAAGGCCAGCCCCAACCAGCATCTGGTCACTGTGATCACAAATCACCAGCTCTTACCCTGCCTGTCCTCCCCCACCCTGCCTATCCACCTGGATACACCTGTCCACCTGTCTGCCCCAGCCCTGGGCTGACATCCGGAGGGAGCTGGGGGGTGGAATCCTATACCTGTACTGTTCCGTGTGGCAGCTGCTGGCCACTGTGTCTACTGAGCCTTGAAATAGGACTAGCACAAGTTAAACTGTACTGTGAGTGAAAATATAACCAGGCTGTGAATAGCGTGGAAAGGAAGGTAAAGTATTTCTCTAATACTTTTTAATTGATGATATGTTAAAATGACCATATTTTGAGTTTATTGGCTAAATAAAGTGCTCTTAAATTGTATCTTTTGCTTTTTTTTCATACAGCTACTGGAAAATTTTAAATTACATTTGTGGTTTGCTTTATTTGTCTATTGAATAGAGCTGCCCTAGAGCCAAATGAGGGTCTCCCAACAGAGCAATGATCTCCAGTCTCTGCTGTCAACCTCAGCAGTGGGAGAGGAAAGGCTGGGAGTGGAAGAGCAGGAAACAAAGCAGCCAAAAGAGCCAGCTCTAGTCCTGACCCCAGGGTAGAAAGGATCTGGCTCCCTCTCTCCCCGGGGGCTTGCAGCCTGCCCGGTTCCTGAAGGCATAGCATCTTGCTGTCATCTGCCCATAGCCCCACACACAACCACAGGGAAGTTCTTGCTTGAATCTGACTTAGATTCTTCACTACAATTTCTTTTTCTCAGGGGTCTTCTTTCACAAGAAGGGGCACTTCTGTGGGGTTCTTGGTCCTATCCTAATTGTACCTCCACTGCCTGGCTCAGTGCCTGCAGCCGGTAGGCCCTCAATACACATTTCTGAATGAACAAATGAGCGAGCAGATGGATGGATGTCTGGCTGGACCCCTTCCTCTTAGAGAAAGTGCAGTGTGCTGCGTTTCCTCAAGAGACACAGACTCGTCCCATTTTTTCACACTACTTGGTGTGTGTTCAGAGCTGGTTATGGGAAGAAAAGCATAGTACATACCAGGCACTTTGTAGATATTTTGCTACTATGAGTATCATTCCCATTTTACTGGGGAAAAAAAGTATTTCAGGAACATAACCCAATGTGTATCTGCTGCTGAGGTCCAAACTCAGTTCCACCCAAAGCCAGAGGCCTTTCCCTTCATGGAGTCGTCTCCCTTGGAAAACTGACAACTGTCACTGGATGACCAGGCGGACCGTGGGCCAGACAGCCTGACCCAGCAGTGCTCAGGAGCTAGATACTCTCCTCGCAGTGTCCCTGCGGTGCCAGACCCCAGCCTTCTGCACTTCCTGCCTCCCTGAGGGGGCCCGAACACGGTGGGCGGTGAATGAGGTGCCACATACATGGCGTTGGCGGTGACCAGCAGGTCGGCATTGTCAAAGAGTGTGACACCGGGCACCTCGACGATGAGCACATAGATGAGCTCGATGGACAGCATGAGCGCCAGCTTGCCGATGCAGCTGATCTGCAGGAACACGGAGCAGGCCAGCAGGCTGAGCAGCACGCTGTAGGTGAAGTACTGCGAGAGAGGGCGGGCATCGTCAGCTCGCGGCCCCGCCCCGGCCCCGCCCCGCCCCTCCTCATCCAGCCTGAGCAACGTTGGGGAAGGCTTCTGCCCACCTGCCCAGGGCCCAGTAAAGTGTTAGCGCCCGGCTCCAGGCTCAGGCTCGCCTGGGCTCATCCCTGATCCACCACGGACTGGCTGTGCACCTTGGACCATGAAATCAACCCCTCTAAGCCTCAGTTTCCCCAACTAGGGCTCCCTGTGTCTGGTGAGAGGAAGCCTGTGGGGGCTATGTCTGGGACCTTCGATAACTGTGAGGAGCACAGGTTCCCTGCAGCTCTGAAATCCACAGGAAAAAGGGAAGTGTCTCACAACCTGGAGGGCAACACCTGAACTGCCTGATTTGCCGGCCAAACCCAACCTAACTGATGCGCTGCCAATCACCATCGGCATCCAGCTTCCTGTGACTGTTGGCACGCTTGGCCGCTGAAGTATGGCTGTGTTTCACCATCAGGGTTTACCCCAGGCTCCTGGTCACATGAGGCAGCCTTTTTAAATCTGAAAATTTTTGTAGTCTAAAATATATTGGCCCTAATGACTTGGGAGGAGGCATGGCTCCCTGTACTATTTATCCTGCTGAAGTCCCTCCTTGTCTTTAAGCTGATTTCCTTCTTAAACAACCGAGGGGCAAACCAGCTGATCTCAGCAGCCCCCTCCTCCTGTGGTCCCGGGATGTTACTCCTAGCCATGTCAGCATCTACTATCCTGTTCTTTCTTTTAAATTTAGCACTATTATTTCTGAGTCAGGCTTCCAGACTCTTCCTATTTCCACACTGCCTCTGCCTTGGGCTGGGGGCCGAATGGGGGTGGCTGGCAGTGGGGGTAGCCCAGGCTGGGCCCTCTGCCTCCCCAGGCTTTCAGGAGCTAAATGAGGCACTGCTGAGGGTCCTTTGGTGATAAGCTGGGACAGGGTAGCCTCAAGGCACCGCCAAGAACTGGGCAGAGGAGACAGTAGGAGAACAAGTCCCGATAATCAGGCCTAGCATTCCATCTTGGGGGGAGGAAAAAGAGGCCCTCTCCAGCCAGCCTGGACTCCCATTCAGAAGCCGGGTCCTGGGCACCAGGAGGCCAAGGCTTAATGCAGCCCCACTACCAACCCAAGGGCCTGTGAGGAGTGGCTGACTGACCCAGGAACACTGGTGAGGTGTGGGCCACAAGCCTGAAACAGAGCAGGCTAGAGACGGCTGGGACCGACCATCTCCAACGAGGAGGAGCTGGGACACCAATGCGTCCCCTACCCCATTCCCAGCTTCTCTGACCACCTAGTGGCAAACAGGCCAATGCAGCCTCTGCTCCTCAGGAAGCACAAACACTGCTTCCCTGGGCTCCCAGCCAGACGTGAGAGGGAATGGAGCCCGGGAGGGGAGGCCTGGCTGACTGCCCAGCGTGGCCGCAGAGGGGAGGGAGAGCTGGTCTCGGGTCCAGGACAGGAAGAAGAGCCTGTCTGGGTGGCCATCAGCTGAGCCCTGCTCCTCACTGGGCTTTCCTTGACTCAACAGTCCAACAAGGAGGTGGCCCAGCTCCTTTTCAGGGCTGGGGAAGGAGGCCAGCACTGTGACAGCCCCTGTGCCCCTCTTCTGCAGTTCTGGGCCCTTTGGGAATTGGATGAAAGCAGGAAAGCAAGATCTCTGTCACTGACTTACAGGTTTCCTGTGAGTGCCCTGCAGGGAGCTGGGAGGTGGCCACAGCCACTGCATAGAACAAACGCTTCCAGACAGGCAGGAAGCCTGGCCCTGCTGCTTGGGGCAAAGTGCTTGCAGAGAAGCGCAGCAACGCGACCAGAGCCCCTCGTGCGCCCCGGTGCTCAGCACATGCCATCCTCTCAGTAAGATTCCTGGTGATACTTTCTAAATCCAGATGCCTATAAGTACAAAATTTCTCTTGGGAGTGGTGAAAGTGTTCTCAAGGAGGATGGCTACACCCATATTTGTGAATACACTGAAAACCGCTGTTGCACGCTCTGAACGAGTGGTTTATGGTAGTGGCTTGGGATTGGGTTCTCTTTGCTCCTCTCAAAGTTCACTTACCCTCCAGCTAGGGGATCAGGTAGGCTCTTTTGAGGAAGGGTCAGGTCTGCCCCACAGGCAGAGGCTCCAGAAAATTTTATTCTCAGGAGCATGAACTCTAGCATTAGACAACTTGTATGAGAGCTTTGACTCTACTGCCTACTCACTGTGTAGTCTTGGGCAAGTAACTTAACTTCCCTGTGCATTGGGTTTTTCATATCTACAAAAGAGCTAATATAGTACCTAAGTCATAGGGCTGGGAGGATTTACTGAGTAGATGTATGTAAAGCACCTAACACAGCACCTAGCCCATGGTAAGTATGTTATGAACAAAAGGTCCGTTAGTTTGGCTGCAGCTGTAGTGAGGAGGCTGCACTTGTTCACCAGTGTTGGGCACATGGTGTTGATGACACTGAGGGAAGGCAGTCTCCAGAATGGCAGTGAGCTGGAGGGCCCTGACCTTTCCTCAGACTGTCCAGGGCTTCCCCAGGAGCAGAGTGGGGTAGGGCAGGAGCAGCTGCATCTGCTCTCTGCCCAGCTATGTAGGCCCAGTACCCAGCCAAGTACCTCGGGAAAGTTGCAGTTGGGCCAGTGGCTGCCGCAGAAGCCCTGCTCATCGCCCAGGCTGTAGTTGAAGGCTGACTCCAGCACATGGCACGCGTTGACCTGGCTCACACTGATGTTGTGCTCCTCCGCCAGGCAGCCCACCAGGTCCTTGGAGTTACACATGAACTGGGCGGGGCACAGGGCAGTGAGGGGCGGTCAGCCCCCAGGGCCAAGGGCACCCTCCACCCTCTGTCTCAGTCACAGCCTCCCTCGGACTGGGGACATAGCGGGAGCCATCCTCTCAGTTAGAGGCCGCAGGTGGACCTGACAGGTCTGTCCAGCTCCTTGGGTAGGAGGGCGTGGCCAGTATGCCTTCCTGAGGTGGTGCCCTAAGTCTGCCTTGGGGACATTCTCTGTGCTCTTCCACCTTGAAAGCAAGGAACTAAAAGCCCGCATGGGGGCTAATTTAAGAGCCAAATCTGATCCCAGACCTGGAGTGAGACAGGAATAGGGTTTTCCCAGGCCATGCTGTTGGGCACAGGGCTGCACTGGGTTTGACCCCACGGGGCTGGGGAGGCACTGGGAGGACGTGGAGCCACCCACCAGGTTGACAAAAGCCGAGAGGAACACCAGGATGATGGTGAACACACCAACCAGGGTGCTGTTCATCTTGGACCGCACGATCTTCCTGGAGAGGATCTGCAGCGGGGCGGGGAAGAGCTGGGCGGGGGAGAGACAGAAGAGCGGTCAGCGAGGACCCTGACCATGGCCGGCCGTGCAGGAGACCCCGGACCCGCTCCTGTTTCCAGTGTAGCTCCCCCCAGCCTTTCTGAACCCCTCCCGGCCTGCAAGGCTCCAGCCTCACGCCACTGCCCCCTGCTTCCAGGCCAACAGCAGCACAGACTCTGAGCTGGCCAGGAGCGAGTGTGCCCGAGAAGCCCACGGGTGAGAGGCTGGATGAAAGAAGTGACACCATCTTGACCCAACAAGGAGGGCCGGCAAAGGCCATTTACCCAGAGAGCGAGTTCTGGACCTCGGGGAGTTACAGTCAGGGGCGGTGGGTGGCAGGGGAGCACGCAGGGAGGGCCCTGACTTCCCTAGGGAGGCTTGGGAAGGCTTCTTGGAAGAAGCAGGGATCTGGTGTCTGGAGGAAGAGGCTGGGCCTGTGAGAAGCGGCAAAGCAGCCCAGGAACAAGAGGGCGGGGCCTGGACCCTGAAGTTTTTCTTCAGCAAGAAACTTCACAGACCCACCTTCCCCTCACCCACCCCTTCCTATATGTTCTTCAACTAGACAAACCCTAGTCCATTCACAGACCCACTGCAGCTACGGTGATTAAATCATCAGCCTCCAAAGTCTCATTTCTGCCACCAAATCTGACACTCTTGGTCTCGCAGACCACGCCCTCCTGCCACGCAACCTACGCTAAGAGGTTGACAGAGAACAGAGCTGTGGACTCGGGCTCCTCTACTGCTGCCTGCGTCGCTTCTTCTTGGTGAGTCCTGTCTGCTGCCAACATTCCAGATGTCCTAAGAAACCTCCAAGGACAGAGAGTGGTGGGAAAAGCACCCGGCCAGGAGGTGGGAAGCCTGGGTTCCAGATGTGGCTTTTCCTGTGTGGCCCTGAGCAAGCCACAACTCTTCTCTGAAGACTCCCATTTGTAGGCACACCCTAAATTTTGTGGTAAGTGAAGCAGGCAAACGTCTTGACCCTGATCACCCCTGCACATACTTGCTCAGTGTGCCAGACCACCTGGCCCATCCCTCTCCTGACACTGAGAGTTCCTATATAGTTGGTCAAACTGATGACTAAGTAGGTCAAGGATCCATAGCATGACCACCATGTCGATGCTCACTCCCAACAGTGAGGTGGTAAGGGGCACTGACTGTGTGTGCTACAGTGTTTGCTGCTAGCTCAAAAAGTGCTGGGACATGGATGGGATGTTCCTCCACCATAAGCCAACCCATCTACAGGTACAGCATCCACGTGGATCCTTCACATCGTCACCTGGGACCTCAGGGTAAAGGGAGCTAATACAAATGTGCTGATGCCCACGCTGTTGTCTGGGCCAGGAATAATAGTCTTTTATCTCTGACTTAGGAGTCTCATGTCTTCTGCAAGCATCCATGAAACACTAACAAGCTAACTTATCAGCTTATGTGTAGGGGACAATCAGACCTCAGACCCTTCAGAGTTCCTGATAGAGAAGGGTCCTGCTCACCCCTGGTCTTGGGATTCTCTTCTTCCAGCAAGGTCACTTCCAAGTCAGCAGAGGGAAAGAGGGGACCACAGGAAGGGCAGATCACAGGAAGTGCTGTAGCAGAGGTCTAGAAGACTGGTGGCTATTGGCTGAGATGAAGACCTTGGCCTCCAACTCCCTTGCAATGCAGCTGTCCAGCATTTTCAGAGACCATTGAGCCTGTGACATTGTTCTGGAAAAACACTTCCTCTGGGATGATTCAGGACAAATTCTGACTGAACCCTCTTATGGGGCAGAAGGAAAAATAGGTATAATGTGCAGAGCATAAGTTTGGATTGAAGTCCTGCCTAATACACATAGAGATAAATCACACACAGTGAGAGTCCAGAAATCAACTCTTATGTTTATGGCCAATTGATTTTGATGAAAGTGCCAAGACAATTCACTGAGGAACAGTCCTTTTGACCAATGTTGCTGGGTCAAATGGATATTCATGTGCAAAATAATGAAGTTGGGTCCCTACCTCACACCATATACATAAATTAACTTAAAATGGACCAGATGGCTAAATATAAGTACTAACACTATAAAATTTTCAGAAGAAAGTATGCAGGTAGACACTAACTTTGGATAAGGCAATGCTTTCTTGGAGATGGCATCAGAAACACAAGGGAAAAAAAAATAAAATAGATAAACTGAACTTCACCAAAATTTAAAAATTGTGAAACAAAATAACAGCAAGAAAGTGAAAAACAAACACTGCCTAGGATGTGGAGAAATTGGAACCTTTGGGCATTGCTGGTGGGGATGTAAAATAAAGCAGCTGCTGTGGAAGGCAGTATGATGGTTTCTTAAAATATTAAAGATAGAATTATAATAAGACCCCACATAGCCCAAATAACTGAAGACAGAGACATGCAGAAATATTTGTACACCTATGTTTATAGAAGCATAATTCATAATAGCCTGAAAATGGAAAATACTCATATGTCCATTAATTGATAGAGATCCCAAAGGTGATATAGCCACACAACAGAATATTATTGAGCCATAAAAAGAAATGAAGTGCCATTACATAGTAGAATATGGACAAACCTCCTTGAAATTATTATGCTAAGTGAAAGAAGCCTGTCTCAAAAGGTCATGTGATTCCACTTATATGAGATGTGAAGAACAGGCAAATTCATAGACACAGAGAGTAGATTAGTTGTTGTCATGGGCTGTAGTGAGCAGGGAACAAGGAAAGACTACTGATGAGTATGGGTTCTCTTTGGGATGATCACACTTCTGGAATTAGTGGCAACAGTTGTACAACTTTGTGAATATACCAAAAATTAGTGAATCACAAGCTTACCAACTTTACAAAGGTGAATTTTATGATATGTGAATTTATATCTCAAGAAAGCTTTTATTTTAAAAAAAAATCCTGCTCATATTGGTACACCCACTCTGGGAGGCACTATCAAGATTCCTCAAAAGATTGGGAATGAACCCACCACATGACCCAGCTATCCCACTCCAAAAGAACTAAAATCAGCTTGCTGTAAGGATAAAGCCACCTCAATGCTTATAGCAGCACAAGTCACAATAGCCAAATTATGGAACCAGTCTAGGTGCCCCTCAATAGAGGACTGGATAAAGAAAATGTAGTCCATATACACAAAGGAGTTCTACTCAGCCATAAAGAAAATGAAATTATGACATTTGTCAGTAAGTGGACAGTACTGTAGAACATCATATTGAGTGAAATAAGCTAAAACTCATAAAGTCAAGGGTTGAATGTTCTCTCTCATATGTGGAATCTAGAGAGAAATAAGGAATTAAAAAACGGGGGAATCTCATTAAAATAGAAAGGAGAAAAATGGAATAGAGAAAGGGGACTTCAAGGGGGAAGGGGGATGGGAAATAAGAGGAAGAGCCCCTACCTAGCTGTGTGGTCCTGAGGACATTATGAATTGCTCTGAGCCTCAGTTTCCTTATCAGTAAGAGGCAATATTTATCTCCCAGAGTGGTTATGAAGAGTCAGTGAAGTGGTACATTTGAAAATATTCTGTAAGAAAAGTAAGTAAATGTTTGCTTTTGTGTGTGTGTGTGTGTGTGTGTGTGTGTGTGGAGATGGTGCTGGGGATGATCCCAGGGCCTCTACCACTGAGCCACATCCCCAGACCAGTATTTGAATTTTCGAAACCTATGTTGCCTAACAGAAAGTTCTTGTTTTCCATTAAGGGAATTCCGGGAGATGGAGAAAGTGTTTTGGCACTAGGTGAACATCTTACTCTGAAATGGAATGACAGATTGTTTCCAATCTTTGGTTGCTTAAAATGTTGCCATTTCATTTCCCACCCCACCCCCATCCCGTGTTGCTTAAACCGTTTCAGTTCTGGTCACCTCTGGCTTCCTTCATGATTCACATCACAGGTGTAATGGATGACTTAAGTGAAGGTTGTTAGTAAATGCCAGAACTTTCTTGATAAAAAGTGGTTGGGGAAGAGGACAGGTACACCTGATTCCAGGTAGAAGTGGGACCAAGGGCCCCATAAAGGCATCCAGAAGCCAGGACTACAGGCTGTTTTTTAAAAAGCAGCTAAGATGGACCCCGTGGCCCATGCCTGTAATCTCAGTGACTCAGAGGGCTGAGGAGGAGGGTTCCAAGTTCAAAGTTGGCCTAGACAAGATCCTGTCTCCAAGTAAACAATAAAAAGGATGGGGAATGTGGTTCAGAGGTAGAGCACCCCTGGGTTCAGGCCTTACTGAGGATTCAGGGAGCAGCTCATGAATGGCTGAGTCTTCATGCCTTGGCTTGCTGCACACCAACTTCCCTTGGTGCCCTGCAAAAAGACCTGCCCTAGATCATCAGGAACCCAAGGGCTGAAGCCTAGAGAAGATGAGGCATCCTGTCCCAGCACTGGTTCACAAACTCTCATCTGTAATTGGAAGGTTCATCTGTATGTGAATCCCAAATCCAAATTTGCTAACCCCAATGTGCATCTTAAGATCCTTTGGTGGACAGAGCCTCTTCATAGGGATCACCATGGCTGCAATCAGATCTTGGGCTGCATCGTTACAGTCGATGATTATATCTGTACAAACCACACAATGCCTGCTCATAACTGGAGCTCAGAAAAAGAAACACATTTTTAAAAGTAAGTTTAGAATCAGTACAAATTATTCAACAGGAACAGTGGGAATGGGGACATAATTAATAAACCATGACTGGGGTAAGGGACCATTTAGACACTGGCTTCTCTGAGTGTCCCTAGGAAAACTGACCTTGCTGGGCCCTGTGATATGGGGCTAGTGAATTACAAAGATGAAAGAAGGTGACAAAATTGGGTAGTAAGAGGTTTAAGAAAACAGCTTCTTTGACAAGGAGCTAACAAAAGGGCAGTAGTTCTTACTTTGGGAAAAATCTAAAAAGATATGAAAATCTCAGAGGCCAGACAAGGCAGGTGGAGGGCTGCACATCATTGGTCTCATCACTTGGCCTTTCAGGAATCGAATGGACATATTGACCAAGGCAGTGTCCTGAAGGAGAAGGATCATGGGCTCTGAGGTCAAGAACTACCTGGGTTTATGAGGCTGGAGATGTGGCATTACCTAGCATGAATGAGGCCCTGGGCTCCAACACTAGCATCACACACACACACACACACACACATATCATGGCTGAGTGGCTGAGTGCCCCTACTGGGTTCCATGTCCTGCTGGAAAGACAAGCTGACCTTCTGTATAAGGATGTGTGATGAGCCACAGTGAAAGCATGAGTCCCAGACCACAGTGTGGGGAGAGGAACAAGCTGCCCTCTCTGCCACTGGGTAGGTATAGGCCTGGGCTGCTTCACAGGTGATGAGGCAGAAACTAAACAAAGACCAGTGGTGCTGTTGGAGCTGGGCAAACAGGGAAGGGGCTGCGCTCGGGAGATATGAGTGAGCCCACTGTCTCTGGAGGTGAGCAAGCACAGGCTGACCCATGCCCTGCAAGGTTAAGGGATTGCACCTTCAGGTGGGTGGCCTGGTTCCATTACTGCTCAGGCCCCTTCCAATCTGAGATTCTCTGAGTCTGTGGACACAGGCGATGGTGAGGAAGGACTTAACCCCGTTTCCTCCCAGAGAGGTGGTTCTGGGGCTGTGGTCAGCACAGACATGGAGGGAGGGGAAGAGGGCCTTCATGCAGACATACAACTTGCCCTCCACAACCGCATCGATGAAAAGACGGACTCCAGGTTCCGATCCTTTAGCCAAGCCACCCTAGAGACAGCAGGGTTCCAAAGGCACACCGTGGGATAAGTGAGGACAGGACCTGGGAACACGGTGAAGATCAAGGTATGGGATCAACCTCACCGAGAAGTCCAGGGGTGCATGAGAACTGCACCAGGCCAGGTCAGGAGAAGATTCCACAGGCCCAAGATGGAAGGCCCCTCAGAGCACTAGTGAGGAGAAGGGAGAACCTTCTACAGAAAGGACTTGCTCCTCCCACACAGGGAAGACTGGGTCCATACTGTCTTCATGCATCTCTCTGTGAAAAGGTCAAAATTATGGACAACTTAAGGAAGCAAGCTTGAGTTTTTCAGGGAAAATGGAAAAGCAAATGAGACAGCGAAAAGAAACTGTGCCTGACAACTGTATGGTTTCAGATGAGCAGAGCCTGCACCTGGAGTAGCTGAGGAATTACGCATCTCATCGGCATGCCCCGGATCCTCAGAGACTGTGGAAATAAGATGGAGAATATCTGCATTCTGGCAAAGGGCAAACATTTTTCAAAGGGAATACAGCATGACATTGAACACCGCAGCCCGGTCAGCTGCGTCAATCCCTGACAAGGTGGTACAATAAACATTTAGTCTGTCCACCTTCGTGCATTCAGCATGAGATAGCGCTCAGGGACAGACTGGTCCTGCATCCCACAAAGGGTGGGTTAATAATCTGGTGCGTACAAGTGGAAAGGGAGAATGGCCCCTTTCATGTCTTCATGTACAGACAGTTTAGCTCCTAACAAGAGGGAAAGAAGAAGAATGAAGTGGAAAAGCAGTTCACGTAGCAAACAACGTTTTGGGTCGGGTTCTGCTTTCGAGGAAGTGGACAAATGCTGAGAAGACTGCTATCAGGGGCTAGTGGCAAGGATGTGAGGGTGGGGCTAGTGTCTATTTGATGTGTCAACTGCTAGCCTGGAGACCGGATAACCAGGGAGCACTTTCTAAACCCCTCCTTAATGAAGACCTCCAGCTATAAGAATGACAAGGTAGCTCCCTGGAAACAGGTGTGTGGGGGACAGTGTTTCTGTGGACGGGCAGGAGGGAGGTGAACTGGAGGCCTCCTTAGAACAGTCAGAAAATTCACTGGGCCCAACAAAGGAACTGAGAACAAGCTAACTGAATTAATTGGGCATTGGGAACAAAATAGGGACCTTCACAGTATAAAAGGAAGCAGGGATGATTTCCATAAACCATCTCGAACAGTGGGAGAAAGAATTCACTAGACCAAAGTACTAACTTCAAAAGGGCCAGAGCAGTCAGCCTCAGGCAGGGAAGGGACCTCCTCCCTTCTCACCCCAGAGCCAAGTGCAAATCAGGGAACACACAGGGAATGGGATGAGGGTAGACTCAGGTTTTCCAAGGTCACCAAAGAGGAAAGAGATCAAATTTAGGTTCTAATTAAAAATTGATGGGCTACATATAGCTTTGATTCTGATTTGAATAGGCCAAGTATCTTAAACAAACAAATGACTTTGTTTCAGTTCATAACTTCATTTTAAAAAGAAATATTCCTTTCAGGATTCTGGGAACAAAAACTTTAAGATGCTACTTTAGCTATGGTATGCTTTTTTTTTTTTAAGGTTACTGTGACTTTTTTTATTGTGGTAAAAATATATATATAACATGAAATTTGCCAGTTTAGCCTCAGTGGCATTGGTTACATTTACAATACTGTGCAAACATCATTGTCTATTTCAAAAACCTTTTATCACTTCTAGTAGAAATTCTACACCCAGTAAGCAATAAGTTCCCATTCTCCCTTCTGCTGGCTGCTGGTCACCTCTAATCTACGTGCTGTGTCCGTGAATTTATCTATTCTAGGTATGTCATATTAGTGGAATCATACAACATGTGATCTTGTGCTCAGAGTAATGTTCTCAAGGTCATCCCTGTTGTAGCATGTAACAGCTCATCATTCCTTTTTGTGGTTACAGGCCCCACATTATCTGTCCATTCACCTGCTGATGGACACTTGGGGTGCTTTTGCCTTTTGTGACTATGTGGTATTCTTTTATAGGCATGGGATGAAGAAAGTAGAACTGTCCCCTGGAGAGAAAGCAGGCTGTGGGGAACTTGACGACAGCAAGAGGTGACTGAGCACAGGGCAGGGGAGACTGCAGCACTGAGGACAGAGAGGTGGAGGGTCACCCCTGTGACACAGCCAGCCACTTGCCAGGCTTCTCTCACAGATGTGCTGACTGACCCTGGCTGCCCTGCCCCTCTCTGGGCATTCACCTCCACACCTGCTGGAGGGAAGTCTCCCAAGGTCCCCTCCAGTTCTGAACCATCAGTCCACCACTGCCTTGACTTTGAGGTGGCTAGGAAGCTAGCAGACTAATGAAGGACCCTGTTTGGAGGGTGGAGAGAGAAAGGGGACTTTGGAGGTGACAATGATCCAGTTCCTCCAGGAGAACATGGAATATGTGAATAAGTCTACCTTTCTAGATGCTGAGCTCCAGGAGAACATGGAGCTCACTGCAGAGTGTGCAAAGTGAAGGCAGGGCTTACTCCTGGTTAGTGTCAGGGCGAGTGAGTGTCATGTCAGGGTGGAGCAGAGGCCTGGCAGGCCCTGGGGAGGGCGCATCTCTGCTGTTAGAGAGCTTCTTGACCTCCTGGTAAAGAATCAAGGGGAAGGCTGCGTGGGCTGGTAGACAGGAACCTGAATGATTCTAGCACAGACCACAATGACCTGGGGTCAAGTCCCACTGAAGGACACAGCCTGGAGAGGGTATGTGACATGCCCCAAAGAAATAATTATGGAAGAAGGAAGCCAGGTTCCAGGTCCTGAACTCGAGTTGCTGACTGAGCTAGCCATGTGAGCTGTCTGGAACTCTGAGCCTTTCCACAGCCACGCACTGATCTGCATGATGGACCCCAATCCCTCACCTCTGAGATCCTCCCAGGGCAAACCTGAGCACTCAGCAACGGAAGGTGGTGTCACAGATGTATCCAGGAAGGTCTCTTCTAGCGAGTGCTTACTGACCACTGCTCTGTGCCAGGCTTTGTGTGAGGTGCCCTCCCTCCCATCACCCCATCTGATCCCAAGAAGTGGCCATGACAGCATTTTCCTGTTGTGAAGATTCACGAGGGCTGAGCCTGCCAATAAGAATGAGGCTCACCTCCAGCCTAGCTTGCCACCAATGCCAATCTGGATGAAGAAAATAGAACTGTCCCCTGGAGAGAAAGTGGTCAGCACTATACTGTCCCTCCCCCATGCCAAACACATGACTTGGCCATAGCCCCTGGCAGTGGCTGGGAGGAGAGAGAAGAAGGTGTTGGCCCAGGAGTCGGCTGGACTCACCTTCACGCAGGAGTAGATCACAGACACAAATACCACCAAGGTCAGCAGCAGGAAACAGGTCAGGTAGAAACTCAGCATGAACACGGAGCTGGGAAAGAAAGGGGGGAGGGGGAAGCCACGTCCAGGTGCTGGGCCTGAGCCTCCCTGGGGCCTGCCTGGCACACAGGCCACAAGTCCCCAGGGCCTGTCCGCACAGCTCCGGAGCCCGAGGCTCTGAAAGCCGAGAGAGAACCTGAAGTTGCTTCATTTCCCCTAAGCCCCCTGCTCTTCCCTCCCACTCCTGAGAAGTGCTCTGGCCTGTGACAGTGTGGCCTCTTCCCTTCTGTGCCCCCCGATGTCCCCTTCCTGAGGGCAGGGGGACAGCAGCCCATTAAGAGCTGGATGGAAAGCCAGGTGCTACCTGACCAATACTGTATTCCTAGCTGTTCACACAGTGCCCCACTTAGCTTGGGAGAACCACTTTAAAAATCACCTGGTCCTTCCCTCCACATCATCACTGGTGGCTTGATAAATAACCTCAAGGACTGAGAGTGGATTTGACAAATGGCCTTTGTTTATATAAATGCATGTATCAGCAGCCCAGCCAGCCACTCTGAGCAATAAGGCTGATACATATATTCAAAATGACAGTCCCTAAGCCCTGTCCCTTACCCACTGCCCACTGCCAGGCCCCCCCTACACATCCTGCTCAGTTTCCGCCTCTGCCCCCACCATTCCCAGCCAGCTCAATAAGAAGAGTACACAAGTGTCCCTGTCCCTCATTTCCCAGGCAAATCACAGGCCCCCATCGGTGGAAATCCTCAGACAAATGAGCTGCAAAACACTTTCCTTCCATTGTCTCCTGGGACAGGGGCTGGCCAGGGACAGCACACACTGCTGTGCCACCAGGAGCCCTTCAAGGGAGGAGAGTGACCTGGAGGTGGGTTATAGGCAGCAAGGCCCAGGGAGGACTCAGACAGCACCCCTATCCACACGAGTATCATTTAGTGGACCTCAACAAATGGAACAGGGAGAAGAAAAAAATCTTTAAAGTGGCTTTTAAGGTTTCCCTAGAGAGGGATGGCTACAGACAACCTCTGTCAATGCCTTAGCCACTTAGAGCTATGGCCAGAGGAGGGAACGAAGCCACTGCAGACAGAGCAGGAGCTGGGGTGGCCCAGCCCCCAGGCCACGCTGCAGAGAAAGGAAAATGGCAAAGAGGCAGGATTATGCACTCAGCTAAGGGACAGAAGGCCTCACCTGCTTGTTGATATCTGTGGCTCCATTTCAATATAGAAAAATGGAGTTCTATGCCAATATGGACCCACAATTCCACCAGCCCTGCACAGCCTTGGTGCCCGTGGAGTGTTTAGCTGCACAACCAGGTGGAGCCCACACCAGCATCTGGTTGTTACCTGGGGTGCCCTGATAGAGTCATAGTAGATACAAATGCATGGGGCACCTTTTCAACAATAAATGTCATAAAAGTAAAAGGTGTTAAGTAAAAAGGCATGTCGACATCACGTGCCTCCTGACACCATGCACTGAGTGACAGGACACATGGTCACTCCCTGGGAGTCTCATCAAAACACACAGCTCCAATCTGATCAGGAGAGCATCACACACACCCAAACTGCATCATTCTAACTGTCCAGGACTCATCAACAGTGCCACGGTCATGCAAGACAGGCAAAGGCTGAACTATCAGATTGGAAGTGACGAAGGAGATAAGATGACTAAATGCAGGGTGGGATCCCAACCTGGTGGCTGGAACAGGAAGAGGGCCCTGGGGGGATGGACAAGATGAGAACATGCTCTGTGGGTTAGTGAACAGTATCATTCCTGCATGCATTTCTTGTTTTTGATCACTGTGCTGTGGCTCTGGAAGTTGTCAACAGTAGGGGAAACTGGTAAGAGACAGACACACAGAGGCTCTGCACTACTTCTGCAACTTCTCAGAAGACTACGATTATTTCAAAATGAAAAATAGAATGTGTTGGGTGTGGGGACTCTTTAGATGAAGCAAGTCTTACAAGATATAGCCACTTGCAACCAGGGGATTTTGAGTAGATCCCTATTGGAAAAAAATAAGAGTAGAAGACTCTTTGGGGTCCAATTTTGAAAACTGGAACATGGACTGAGTACAGGGTTAGTAGAGAATCGATGTTGACTTTAAGGAAGAAAATGTCCTTTAAATGGAGGTCACTGAGGATTTTAGGGGCAAAATGTTCATAAATTTACTTTAGATAATCAGGAAAAGCCAGGCATAGTGGTGCACAGCTGTAATCCCAGTGGCTCAGGAGGATGAAGCAGGAGGATTGCAAGTTCAAGGACAGCCTCAGCAAATTATTGAGACCCTAAGCAACTTAGTGAGACACTATCTCAAAAGAAAAAATAGAAAAGGGCTGGGGATGTAGTTTAGTGGTAAAGCACCCCTGGGTTCAATGCCTAGTACCCACCCCCTCCAAAAAAAAAACAGGAAAAAATTTTGAAACAAATATTGCAAAAATATTAACAAAGCTAGGGGATAAGTGTTGATTATATTACTTTTTGTATGTTTGAATGATTTTATACACATAAGATGCAAAAACATGTATACATACACATATATACCCACGAACATATGTATATATACACATACACACGCATGCATACACATTTCTCTCCTAGGCATGACTCTATATGACAATCTACTAAACTTTATTTCTGAAAGCCCACTACCTACTTCAAAGTGGTTCCTGCAGAAGCCACAGGCTCTCACAGTGATACAAATAGTCCTCAGAAAAGTTCAACAGTGCCTCTTTGTGACAAAACTTCAGAACCTGAATTATTCCACTCTTTGAAATACCTACAGTAGTAAGAAACCTTTGTTTTTTGAAGTTGTATTGTTTTTTTTCCCAAGATCTAAAGTTCACACAGGAGGCAGCCTGGCAGATACTTTGGGTGATTCAACCGGGTGGCAGAGGTATGTGCTAAGTGGCATGAGATGATAAGTGGTGGACAGGGGTCTCTCCTGCAGCTAAGCAGTGCCCAGTGAGAAGTCTTCCACCCAGGTGAGAGCACTCACCCTGGCTTTCTCGTCCACCAAGGTCAGGTGGAGCAACCTCTCCTGCTTGAGGAGGTTCAGCCCATCCTCCCTATTCTCTTCTTCTAAATGACCAGCTCTCCCACCCTGCAGCCAGAGGAGGGAGCCCAGGAGGGATGGGGATACTTACTGGGGCACAATGGCGATCTGGACGAAGCAGATGAAGAGGAAGACGAGCGAGGCACAGGCAACATAGGCACCAAATCGATCATCTACCTGCTTGGAGTACTGAGAGGAGACACATAGGGTGAGAGGTGGAGGATGTCCCATCCCAGCCAGGTCAATCCCAGAGAGCCTAGGATCTGAGACCCTGAGCCAGACACAGATCACAAGAAACCAGTGCAAATCCCTGCAAGATGGTGCCCGGAGGAGGGCAGTTGGGAGGGACTTGGGATTGGATCAAACAGAATCTTTATGCAGGCTGAGTCACTGTCATTAGTTCATCATGATCACAACTGTCAATTCCTGGGCATCATCTGCATCACCATCGGTCATGCTCACAACAGCCCCAGAAGCAGGCACAGGACTGCTGTTATTCCTACTTCTGAGGTGAGCATGCTGGGAGAGCTTCCATGACTTGCCCAAGGCCACTCTGAGCTCCCAATTCCCTGATGCAGCTTCCTCCATGACACCACCCAGCTGCACTCATGGAGGTCATTGCTGCACGGTCACCTGGAGCAGGCAATGCATAAGTCAGGTCCCCTTACTTCCCTTTGTTGTAAAGTGTTTCTCTGCTAACCAGCTTCCCTCATTTAATGCTGATGAGAGTTCACCCACGCCCGTGTGAACTGGACCCTGGCAGACCCTGCAATATGGTGCAAAGAGACCTGCCTGGCCTGGGGTCCAGCCGTGGCTCTGGAACTACTTCACTGGGTGACTTTTGCATTCAGAGCCCAAGGAGAGGGGGCACAGGGATCTTGACTGCCCCTTCCAACTTTCAGGCCTGGAGGCTCCAGTGTGCCTCAAGCTGTGTGGCCAAATGACAGCAGCAATCGCAATACCAACAGCAACCAATGCTTAGTGAACAGCCTCGAGGCGGCAGTTATTATTTTCTGTGTTTTACACAAAGAGAACTCATTTATTCCTCACTGTAATATCTGTTTCTAGATAAGGAAGCCAAGATGCAGTAAGATTAAGGTTTATTCCTTCTAGGGTTGGGGCTGACAGTGCTCAGCGGTAGAGCGCTCGCCTAGCACATGCGAGGTCCTGGGTTCCATCCTCAGCACCACATAAAAATAAATAAATCAAGGTATTATGTCCAACTACAACTAAAAAATAAATATAAAAAAAAAGATTTATTCCTTCTAACCAAGGAAGTCTCTCTAGAACTCCCTGGGCAGCACAGTATCACATATGAGGAAACTGAGGCGACAAGAAGCTGCTCCTTCCTTGGTGCTGGAAGGAAGTGTCCTATTGCCTCCCTGGTCCTGGCTCTGCACCCCACCCAGGTGCCATACCTTCTTCTCTAAATCAGGCTCCCTGAAGGTCAAGAGGAACTTCCGGACGTGCTCAGATCGCAGCCTGTCGATGCTCCTGGCGTCAATGGCCCGGCCCAGAAACTCATCCACTTCATCCTCAGGGTTTGCACTTTCCTGGGCATTCCTGGGGAGCAGGAGGCACAGACCCAGACCCAATGACCATCAGGGGCACCCTTAGAGGGCTGGCTCTGAAGTCCCTCTGGAATAACCAGAGAGACCTGGCAGTGGCCATGGTCAGTCTTGACCCAGGGCCTGAGGCCAGGTGAGCCCTTACTCTTTGCAAATGCACACACAGGGGAGCCGCCTGCCCCTCAGGCCTGCTGCTGGAGGGCCTTGCTGGCGAGATAACTCAGTATGTGATAATACTGGGAATTATTACAGAAGATTTTGTTGTTTTCCCTAAAGACAACACCCTCTGCTCTTTATCCTCCACCTGTCTCCCCATCCTGAAACAAAGGCTGAGATGGGGAGGTGGGACTCCTTTCACAGTGACTGTGGTCTGCCTGGTCCCTTTAACTGGACTCAGGGCCCTCTTGTGAAGCAGGCTTCATGGTCTTTGAGTGCTGAGTTTCTTGGGGCTGGGGTTGTAGCTCAGTGGTAGGGCACTTGCCTAGCAAGAGCGAGGCCTTGGGTTTGATCCTCAGCACCACATAAAAATAAATAAATAAAATAAAGGTATTGTGTCCAATTACAACTAAATAATAAATATTTAAAAAAAACCCAACTATTTCTCAGAGTGAAGTCTGGTCCTTGAGCGGAACCTCTGACAGTCCTGAGAACCGGGAATTAGAGGAGCGCAAGAAAGGCGTTCCCTCAGGATGCTGGGTGTGGTCGGAGCCTGCTGAGCATGTGCACACACGCATGTACCTGTGTGTCTATACACGCATATATGCACTGTGTATGTGTGCATATATGTGTGCGTGTGTGTGCACACATGTGCAGTGGAAATGAAACAGGCTGCACTGAGGCCCAGCCCTCTGCCAGGTGGGCTGGTCCCTGGGCTGGCCTGGCCTGTGTGGGGCCACTACTGACCACCTGTTTGTTACGGCAGGCTCCTTTCACTCTCAGCTGACTGCTGTGGGACCATGTTCCATGAGTGTAGGGAACCGGACGGGAAGGCAGATTTGGAGCTATTTCCCAGATGGTGGTGTCAGGAATAAAGAAAGGCTTATTACTCACTTGTCCTTTGGGTCTTCAAAGCCCTAAAAAAGGAGAGAGAAAGAGAGGAGAGAGAGAGAAGTGTGAGAACAGAGAGCACTGAGGACATGCAGGGAGTGAGCTGGGCCTGTGAGGAGGTGGCCAGTTCTTGCTCACTGCGGTCTCTCAAAGCACTGGACACAGAAGTCTGCCCCTTCCCTCCCTCCCTCCCTCTGGTTGGTGACAGTGAGGTTCTTCTGAGGCATGGGTCCATGCTAGATGCTGGGGACACTGATGCCATTCCATCCACTGCAAAGTCCCTGTGACTAAGCTCTTCCTGATCCCCACCCCCCGTGGACTCCTCCCCTTATCCCAGCCTCCATACCGCCCCCCACTCCTCCTCACACATGTAAGGCACAAAGAGCACACAAAAACCATGGGAATTCACAGGTTCTTCACTTAAAAATTTCAACTCCAGATACCTGCAAAAAATTTGTTTTGGTATCTGAGAACCAATGTATTTCTGCCAGGCTGGACTTTGGGGGCACTCTGGAGGTAAGGAACACCTGCATGGGTTTGGCTGCTGTTTTGTGTTTCTGCAGGGGGCCGGGGGTGGGAAATGGGCACTGGTCTTTGCTGATCATCAAACTCAAAGCCCTATTTAGCCTGTGCCAGGGTCTAACCAGCTGTGGTAGAATGGAGGGTCCCTACAGTGGGAAGGAGCAGAATCCAGAAGGCAGTGGAGGTGACAAACAGCCCTCAGACTTGAAGTTCCAGATAAGGCTTGAGCTTCCAGGACAAAGACAGGGAATGGCCCCTTGTCTCTGTGGCCCAGTGTGGAGCACTACTGTACAAAAAGGGAGTTCAGCAAATGTTGGGTGAACCAAAAATCCAAACAGATCTTGCTTCATCCCATCAAGGATATGGTTTAGAGATACAAGAAGAGGGGCTGGGCTGGGGTTGTAGCTCAGAAGTAGAGCCACATGCATGAGGCATACCGTCTACCATGCATGAGACACTGGGGTCGATCCTCAGCACTATATAAAAATAAAATAAAGATATTATTAAAAAAAAAAGAAGAAAGAAAGAAGAGGGGCTGTTCTCCATGAGCTTTCAGGTGCTGAAACAGACATGGCGTCCATGCAGCTTCAAGGTGCTGTGCCTTCTATTCTATCCTCAGCTAACCACTCCCTGAGCCTCAGCAGGTCCACCTGGGGTGGGGGGCACATTCAAGGACCAACAATTTCCAGTGCTCTGAGCTGCTCCTAGCTCAACCCAGGAGGGCCTGTCAGTTGTCTCCCAAGGCTCTGTCTCTTTGCTACAAGACCTGTCCTACTTTGCTATCACTCAAATGGGTGCTCTGACTGAGGACGAACCTATCCCTGAAGTGCCCAGGACCCCTTGGAACACAGCATGACCAGCAGAGAGGAGAGCACCCTACAGATTACTGCCATGAGATGCTAATGCTCTAGCATCCTTCCATAGATTGGCAACAAGTTTATTAAGCAACCAAGAACAATCGAGCTCTATTATACATACGCCCATCTCTACAGATCAAAAACATCCTAAAGTGCTTTTAATTTAATTTTCTATTGTTTAATTTATTCTAATGAGTTATACTAAAGTGTTTTGAATAAACATGTTTCTGACTTTCTCCAATGTCCCTTAGGTCATCTGCTAAGGCAGATGTTGGGCACCCACTTTTCCCTACGGTGCAGAGGTGGGAGCCAGGTGCACACACGGTGCCATGTTGGTCTGGACAGCTTAGCATCTGGTTGAGTGGTGCATTGATTACAGGGCAGAAATTCTTTTGGTCCATAAACCACAGCAGTGAGGTTACTGAAAACAGACCTGGGCTCAGTGGTAGAACACTTGTCTAGCAAGTGTGAGGCCCTGGGTTCAATTCCCAACATCACAGAAAAACAAAAATCAAAACACAGTCCACCAGACTGGGTGCAAATCCACCTCCCCCACCCAGCTCATTGGAGCTAGGATATGAGTCACTTCACCTCTCCCAGCCTGCTGGTCCCTCAGAGAGCACAGAGCTTTCCTGGGGTTGGTTACATAAGCTCAGTCCATAGGCTTCCCATCATCAGTCTCTGTTTAATAAATAATCTTAAGAGGATGTTACGACAGGCGTGCCTGGCAGAGACCTGCACAGCTCCTCATAGAATTCAAAAGCCAAGAAAAATTGGATAAAGATTTCAAAAAACCTCTGGGTGTGGTGGCACACACCTATAATCCCAGCAGCTTGGGAAGTTGAGGTAGAAGGATCATGAGTTCAAAGCCAGCCTCAGCAACTTAACAAGGCCCTAAGCAACTCAGCAAGACCCTCTCTCTAAATAAAATATATAAAGGGCTGGAGAGGTGGCTCACTGGTTGAGTGCCCCTGAGTTCAATCCCTGGTACTCCTTCCCCCTCACCCGACCAAAAAAAAAAAAAAAAGATTAAAAAAAACCCAAACTGCCAGTCCCAAATTAGAACTTTTTAACTGCTCTGTTGCAGTTTCATGGACCCCACCCCTCCACCTTCAGTGGGCTATTTCTTTTTAAAAAACTCCCCTGTGCGTTGGAATTCAGGGCAAAAGCTCTTCTTTTCCATGTCTTTCTCAGAAGATTTCTGTCAAGTTTAACTCCAAAAGTGCATGGCTTGCTCAGCTGCTGCAGGAACTGCCTCTGTCCCCAGCTTAGAGATTCCCATTGGACAGACTGAGATGGGGCCAGGCAGGGATGGATAATCAAGGGTCACTGTGCCCAGTCAAACAGCAGGGAGGCCGGGCCTCCCCTCTTTTCCTTTCCTGGGTGAAGCAGTTCACACTGGGAGGAGCATTCTCCTCTCTCCAGAATCCCTTCCCCAGTTACAGCCCTTCCTGCTAATCCTTCCAAGGCTCCTTATCCTAACAATGATGAATCTGTCTGCCAAACAGGTGCTGATAGTCCAAACAGCCTCTTTTAGGACTGAAATGACTAAAGATGCAGCTTATACCAAGTGTCACTAAAAAATAACTTCCCTAGGATTTTAAACAGAGGACTTGATTTACCACCAGGCCCCTGTCCTCCTCGCTGGCTGCTCCCTGCTTCCTCTCCACCTCTCTGCCTCCCCTTCCTCGCCCTCTCTCCTCCCCACTCTTCACCTCCAATGCCCCTCCATCTCACCCCTCCCTCCCTTCCTGACCAGCCCAGTCATGTGGCTACAGTCTGCAGGACTCAGGTGACAACGGTTGCCACCTGCTCTTCGCTTTGTGGAGGGCCGCTGGGGCAAGGGAGAGTGGTGGCCAGAGCCTGTGGTATTGACCAGGTCTGCAGATGTCCAGGTTCAAAGCCCCGGGGGAAACCAAGCCTCTCCCGTATGCTCCCTGGTCACACCAGTGTCCCTCAACCAGCTTATGTACCTACAGAATGTTAGGCGGAGGTCTGACCAATCATTTCCCTCCTGCACACTTCCTTGAAACCTGTGTCATCTGCTGCTGTTGGCTAGAAAGGAGGGGTGACTGGGCGCCCAGCCTGTCCCCTCCTTCAGGCTGCTGGCTCCCCATGTTGTGTGTCTCTCGTTCCTTCAGCTCCATCTAAACTCCATCTGATCCACAGACCCCGACTGGAGGATGCCTGGGCTAGCAGCCCACTCCAGCTTATTCACACATTAAAACCACCCCCCTCAGCCCTCCCCATCAGGGTGGCTTCCACCTGGCCAAGAGGTGCCTTTGAACTGAGCAGGGGCCTGAGAGGTGGTGGCCACACTTTTGGCACAAAGAAATGCTACTGCTCTAACCTGGCTTCCTGTCATTCTCCTTCCTCTCCTTCCGACTCCTAATTCTATCTTCCTGTCATTTCTGCCAGAGCCCAGCAGTGTCCTGAATTAGCCTGTCCCTGGTTTACGCAGTGATAGCTGGAGTGTCTGTGCCCTGAGGCAGGCAGGGTGCCTGAGGTGGAGATGTCAGTCCTACGTACCCAGCTGGAAGGATGGAGTCAGAGGGAAAGGGGGTGTTTCTCAGCACAGAGGGCAAAGGGACCATCACCCAACCCTTGCCAGAAAGCCTTGGGATGGTTTCTGAGCAACTGACTCAAAAGATGTGACTTGAAGCTGGGCGAGGTGGCACACGCCTTAATCCCAGCGGCTTGAGAGGCTGAGAAAGGAGGATGGTGATTTAAAGCCATCCTCAGCAAAATGTGAGGTGCTAAGCAACTGAATGACACCCTGTCTCTAAATTAAAAAATACAAATAGAGCTGGGATGTGACTTAGTGGTTGAGTGGCCCTCAGTTCAATATCTGGTATTAAAAAAAAAAAAAAAAAAAGATGTGACTTCAATTGCCTGGGAAAGGCAGTAGGTGCTAGAAGGGAATCTGGAAGGCCAGTGTCCACCCAGCTCCCCAGGGCCTCACCAAACAGTGCCAAGACCCAGCCAGAGGCCCTGACAGGATCATGAGTCTGGCTGGAAGGGCCCACTCCCAGCCTACACCAGCGGTTTCTGCCAGGAGAGAGGAAGGGGCACTGAAGCTCTGTGCCCATGCCGTATTCAGCCACAAGATGTTAGGTCTCGTGGGGAGTGCCCAGGCCAGAGTTAGGTGTGCCAGCTCCTTGTCCAAAGTTGGGGTGAGCCCACTTACGTTCCCCAGACTCCCCCAGGCAACCAGAGGGTCTTGGGCCAGTTCTCACACTCCTAGAAAACCCTGGCCCTGGACCATGTCACCTGCTCACCCTTCTGCCAGCTACTCACCATCCGCTTCATCTCCTTGGACACCTGGTTGCCGCCCAGGTGGTTGTAGAATGGGCGTTCAGCCCCCCAGTGTGGTGGGTTGTGCCCGATGGAATTGGTTCTCTGGCGGTTCATCTTGGCAATCATGGCCTTCTCTTCTTTCTAGAGAGCAACACAGATACATCAGCCTGTGGGCAAGGCCACAGGAACGCAGTACCTGGCCAGGCAGGGGCTGAGGCAGCCGCACCTGCCTCTCTGAACAACCCTGGAGCCCAGAGGTCTGCCAAGAACCTGGAGCCTCCAAACTCCCAACACCTGGCTGGCCCCAGGGGAGAGTGGCAGAAGGTGATGAGCCCTGATCTTGTGAGAAAGCAAACGGCAAGGAGTTCTCCCTGCAGGTCTGGCCACAAGATTCTACCCTGGTGCCTCTCAAAATCAAATGCCATATCCTTCCCATTGGGTTGCCTAAGCTCCCCAAGGCTTGAACCACTGCTGGCTGCCTGTGCTCCTCCCCACTGCCTCTGGGGCACTCAGAGGGTGGGTGAGGTGGGGAAGGGGCTAAGCCTCACCTCTGGTCTCCCAGGCAGCCAGGCTGGCACAAGTCTGGGCCTCCCACCCTGCAAGCTACAGAATCATAGCAGACTCTGCTATTGGGATGCATGGGCCAGCACAGGGCAGGGCTCTCAGCCTACTGCCTCAGGACTGGGCAGAGCTGGTGCTAAAAGTGCCCAGAGGCTGATGGAGGGAGAGGGGACCTGGGACTCCAGTCTCCACTCAGCTTCTCCCAAATAGGCACGTTCTAGCAGAGAGGGCAGTAAGTAGGACAGGCCACTGTTGCCCAGAAGGCTGCTTCCACAGAGGTCTGGGTCACTGAAATGAGGAGATTCAAGGGCTGACACAATTGTACAAAGACACAAAAGGAGACGGGGCAGGTACTTATGGGCCCACACTCTCCCAGCATCTGTCTGTTCACCCGTCTATCCTTCCAATTGGGTTCTAGGGGTGGAGGACTGGGGACGCCTGAGGCACCCCCCCAACTCCCTCCTTCCTTGGAGGTGGTGCTGGGGAGCACTCAGCTTGCCTCAGCTGACTCTGCTGGGATGGGGGGCTGTCCCTCTCTCTCTGTTACTCTGTCCCAAAAAACAGTCTCTTCTGGACCACTTGTCAATTGGAGGAACCAAGGCCCAGGGAACTCAGGGTGGGAAGGTGGGCTGTGAACCAGGGACCCCAAGGAAGGATGTGGGAAGAGGGCCCACAAGGATTTCAGTTCATTTATACTCTGGCTAAAGAACAAGCAAATTGTTTACAACTGTGCAGGTTAAGCCACGAGGAGCTCTCTCCAAAGTGCTCTTCTGGCTGTCTGCAGAGGGGAATCAATATGACTCACTGCAAGGACCCTGCAACAGGATCTTGCCCTGGGGGTTCATGCCCCTCTGATGTCCCCCTGAGGGTAGACACCTGCCCTAACGTCCACACCTCCTCTTAAAAACCTAGTACTTCGGTCACCCAAGACTTTCTTCTCTGAACTGCCCTCACAGTGACTTTGTGTTTGGTCTAATTTCTCAGGAAAAGAAACAGGGAAGCTTTTCTCTACCAAAGGGCACTGACCGACAGATCAACTCAACGGAAGGACTGAGAAGTCAAAGACATTTTAATTTAGGGAGAAATATAAAATGTTCTCTTCATTCGCTTTAAAAATTAAGAACATGGAACATGTCACTATTAAAAATAGAACACCAAAGTCAGCTAATAATTCAGTTTTAGATTCTGGCAAGTTTGAGCTCAGACAAAGGGGAAGAAGAAAGAGGCTAGACAGTGAAAAGGGAAAAGAGAGATTCCAGAAACACATGTATAGATATAAGTGGAGCTGGCTGCCCATATCCATGGGGAGGGCGGAACAAGAGGCGGGGTGGAGAGCAGATATACAGTAAGTGCACATATCCTTGCTGCTTGGGCTCCATCCAGCGGCCTTCTGAGGCTCTGTTGCTGCCTGATTTGAAGCCCGTTGAATTTTTGCAACAGAAGCAGAAACCAAACCAAATCTTTGCCATCATCTTTGGCAAGGCCTTCCTCACTCTCCCGTCTTTTCTAAGATGCAGAAGCCACAACTACATTAGGAATTCACGACTTTTGCTCAAGAGATGAAGGAGAAGAGACCATGAAAATGCTCCTCTCCAAAAGGAACAGAGCCCTCAGCCCACGCCCCCAGCCCTGGCCCACAGACCCGCTTCTGGGTGCAGCGCAGGATGAGGAAAGTCTCTATGCTGTGCTCCTTGAGGTAGGCGTTGCGCTCGCCCCCACAGCCGGGCTCCACTTCGTAGTCCCCGTTCAGGTAGTTGAGTGTGGCCTTGGTGATGTGGATTCGTCTATGGGCGGAGAGGAGATCAGGATGGGGAAGGCAGAAAATGCAAGCTCAGAACTAACCCTCCCATGCAAAACCAAACTGCAGTTCTGAGTCAACCATGATTCAAGGCCCAGGACCCCAAACTCTGGCTCAGATGTACATCCTTCCCATATTATCAAGATGGCCCTTGGAGGCCAGTTTTCAGAAAGCTCACACCTACTACACCCACACCATCTCACACCTCACCTCCTAGTACTGGCCTCTATGTCAGCTTCAGTCTTGAAAACCTTTCCCTTCTGCTCAGAACTCTACCCCATCACCACAGTTTTTGTAAGCCCCCTCGCCCCTGGCAAAGGGAGATCATGATGATGTTCTCTACAACTTGACCACACTGTGATTTAAATAAGTCAAGGAATCCCTGCTTCAGTTCTACCAGCCAGATGGATCTCCCTCCCTTCCACCCAGCCCTGCCTGTTCGGGATAGTTCCCAAATGGGATTGAGCAGGAAGCAAAGTCTGGGCCCTCACTCACCCTGCCTTGCCACCAGCCTCCATGTGGTTGGCCAGCGTGACGTCGTTAGACCAGACGTCGAACTGCCACTTCCTGAGACCAAGGACACCGCAGTGTACTCGCCCGCTGTGAATTCCCACGCGCATGTTCACGTTCACCCCAGTCACCTCCCGGACCAACCTGGGGATGGAGTAGGGGTAAGGCTGGGGGAGGGTCAAGGGTCAAGCACACAGGTGGGGGTGAGGCTGGAAGGCAGGGCTCGGGGAGAGCATTGGAAGACATAGGAGTTAAAAGGCATTTCTCTGGTCCAAACTAAATAGAATCTAGAATGTTCAACCTGAAAGGGACTGGGAGTAGGCGCTGCAGGTGCTTGGTCCTGGTGCTCAGGGGCACTAAACTGAGGCACTATTCCTGCCTTGTCCACAAGGTGGCGTAGTGCCTCGCACTGTAACCCAGGGTCCCACTGCCTCCCCTCCAGAGGGCACCGAGGGCCATTGCTACCTTCAGTCAATTAGATTGTATTCAGAGAAATGCAAATGTAGCTTAGTGTCAACTAGAACCCAATAGGGAAGTTACAGCCACTCTAAACCCCAATCATAATGCTCTATGGATAAGACAGAGATGGCTTTTGGATTATCTGTTTATTGGATTTATCCACATTGCTGCTTCTCTGACATTAGCAGGATGATGGAGAAAAGCGATTAACTGGGTTTCAAGGGAGCACATATTCCCCACTCAGGAGATAAAAGGAATCTGGGAAGATGCAGGGGTCTAGGAGGGTTTCATGTCCTATGGGATGCCCCCAGGCCCTGTTTATCCAGGGGTCCCCAGAAAAGTAGATGGGCCCTTCACTTATAACCTCCTATGCTAAGGGAGAGGGGGAGGCAGACTGGGAAGGAGGCTACATGTCAGTGGCTGGTGCTCCCAGGCCTGCCCACAGTCTGCAGAAGAGGGCACAGGTGCCAGGGTGTACACATTTTGTACTTTTGAGGTACTGGGAGCCTCTGATACGCCAGGGATGACCACTTGGCCAGTCATGGGACCAGTAGTCTGATGTGGCCTAGTGGGTAGGACCACCCCTTGAACTCCGGGCTTATCACCCCACTTGGCCCCCATCAGGGAGAGGGAAGATGGCAGGGGAGATCTGTCATCCATCATTTCTCTTGTTCTGGGATCAATTTGGTCAGCCCATGTATGACCAAATGTATGCAGAAGGACACTTGCTTAGGAGTTTTATGCCTTGGTGCTTTTTCCAGGGCTGCCTCCTTGGTGAAGCCTCTTTAAACCCCCTGAGTGGAACCAACTGCCCCCTCCTCATAGAGTTTGCCTCTCTTACCTTGTTCTGTCCACGTGAAACATCTGATCATTGTTAGTCAATGGGAGTCCTGGCCTGTCCTCCTTAATATACTCTGCACTGCTGGATGAGGGACTATCTAGCCCAGACATGCAGGGGACACCTGGTGAATATCAACAGACTTGGCCACCTTCCTAGCCATCCACTCTGACCTCTGACTTGGCCATCTGTCTTTTCCTTTGCCCCTGTCCAGGCTACTCCTAAAGTCCAGAGTTACTGAACCTGGACACAATCTCTGACCTGCTCCCCTGGCTGACATGCAGGCTTGGATTGTCCTCATTTTACAAAATCCAGGGTTCCTTCAATGGCTAGTGATGACCAAGACCTGGCCCAAGAGCCTTTTTGCTATTGCCCCCAAGAAGGGTGGAGTCTCTGAAACGGGAACTCCTGTTATGAATCTACCCACTAGGATTAGGCCCTGTTGAGCTGTTTAACCCTTGTGAGCCCAGCTCTCCCATCCGGGAGGAAGTGAGGCCAGTGGGTTCTACCCCGGCTGGGAGTTTATGAGAAGACCCAGGAGTGTGAGGCCCACCCGGGGCACTGCCATGACTGCCAGCTTCTCCCCCTGCCTGGAGCCTGCAGAGTCCTCCCCCTGGTGCCTCTACTGGGTGAAGCACCCCCATGTGGGTGGTAAGGAGCCCTGGAGAAGCCACCAAGTCTGGAGGTGTAGATCTGCCTCCCGGTTGGGTGGGGAGATGGCTCTGCCCCGTGGTTGTCCTGCTTCCATCTGTCCAGTAGGCCAGGCAGGCATTACTTAGTTTGTGGACCGTCTCCCTTGAGTGGGGAACTTACGAAATGGCCTCGATCATGTCCATGCCCATCTCCACGCAGCAGTGGGCATGGTCAGCCCTGGCTTCTGGCAGCCCTGAGACACAGTAGTAACAATCCCCCAGGATCTTAATACGTAAACAGTGATTCTCCTGGAAAGCAAATTGATTTTTTAAAAAATTAAAAAGAAATGGGAAGCAAACAGATTCCCCACAGACCCTAAGCCAGAACTCAGCCTAGTCCCAGGCCAGGCTTATCAGGAGGCATGGGAGAAGGAGGTGGGGGGTCAGCCAATGGGCTGAACTGCTCAGAAAGGCATTCCAGTTCCCCAAGCCTGGAGCGGCAGTCCACCATGGCGCAGTAACAAGGGCAGCCTTGTCAGCTCAGGGAAGGTCCCGTGCCTGGGGTGAGAATCTCTGGTTCCACTCCATGTCCCAGGAGCACACTCAGACTCCTGACCCAAGATCTAGAAACAGTTTTGATTCTTCTTCTTATATATAAAAAAAGACTTTAGCAGCAGAAATGAGCTTGAACCAAACCCTTCCCTGACCCTCAGCCCGTCCGAGAGGTCTGTCAAAAAGAGTTCTGCTAAATCAGCAAGCACAGGAGTGCCACAGAGCCAAGGCAATTGCCACTGCTGCTGCTGAGTGACAGGTGCCCCAGGCCACCACTGATCTATAATTAGGAGATGAATTGTCATTAATCATCAATTGCAGGCTGCCCGAACCTGGCTCCCAAAGGTTACTCCACAAAGCTGGGACCCTGGGACTCAAATGGCCAGGTGGCCTGGAGTCCTGAGGTCCATCTAACACCCAGGCAGCATGCCTCATTCACTTTGTCCAAGATCAGTGATGAAGCCACCATCTAGCAACCTCAGAGGCCCTGGACAGGCCCTGACCAGCATCACCCTTTTATCCACAAGCAGGCGTGGCATCCATGTGGAACAGGGGCCATTTCCACATGTCAGTGGACATTGTTTGAAGTGGCCACTTAGATGCAATGACTCTACAAAGGCCTCGAGTACCACCTGAAGCCATGGACTGGGAAAGGACGACCGTCTGTAAATGGGGACCCAATGGAGGAGCATGTTCTCCACCCCCCTGCTGCTGTGGGGCGTTGCTTCCAATTTGTCCAAATGTCGGGGAATCTTCTTTATGAAAGCCTCTAGGGGTAGCATCTGGCTGCTCACAGGCCAGGTGGGGATTCAGACTCGTTCTCTTACTACCCTGGCCAACTTCATCAGGAATGTGATCACACAGCATCTAATCTGCCTCACACAGAAATCCCGCTGGGGTTGGGGCAGAATGCCTCCCAAGGCTTGCCACCCCTTCCACAGACAGGGCATGGAGAAGGCCCAGCTCACTCCCCCAAGGCCAGTAAAGCACCTCCAGCTGTGTGATGTCTGGGCTGACCTGGAGCGTGAGGACACAGCCACTGCCTGAGCAGTCCCTCTGCCCATCGCTGGTTCCTAGCAACAGGTTCTCCCAGCAGGGCACAGCCTGGCATGGGCCCACCCTGGGGGTCAGCAGGGGCTTGACCACAGGGCCCTCGACTGCCCAGACCGGGCCACCCTCTGGCCCAGGCCCAGAGTGACTCACCGCAGCCAGCTTGTCAAAGCGGGCGAAGAGCTCGTTGAGGGTCATGACCAGTTCCTGGGCAGTGCACTGGGAGGCCAGGCTGGTGAAGCCCTCGATGTCAGCAAACAGGATGCTGGGGAGACAGTGGAGGAGGAGACCCTGCTGTGGTCCGAATGTTCGTGTCCCCTGGCATTCCTATGTCATCTTGTGCCCAATGTGAAGGTGCTGGAGGTGGGAGGTGATCGGGTCATGATGGTGGAGCCCTTGTGAATGGGATTAGGGCCCTCGTGAGAGAGAAGAGAGCTTGCCTCCTCAGGCTCTGCTCTCTCCACGTGTGCATTTGCTGGAATGGCCATCTGAAATCCAGAAGAAGGCCCTCACCAGAACTCCCTCATGCTGGCCCCCTGACCTTGGACTTCCAGCCTCCAGAACGGTGAGAACTAAATTTCTGTTGTTTACAAGCCACTTGGTCTGGTATGCTGTTCCAGCAGCCCGAACAGGTCTAAGGCAGACCTCTGTGAGGAAGGAGAGGCTGAGGCTGCAGCCAGGACCCAGCTGGGGCCCCTCAGGGCTTAAGAAGACTGGCCATCAAGAGTCCTGGGGGATCCAGATGGCTGGTAGGTAGGGCACAGAGCCCTTTCCCTGGAGAGCTGAGGATGTTGGTCTCTCCCACTCACTGGGAGCTGCGTTTCTGTTCTCCTTTGTGAACTCTCACCATACCCTCAGTCTCAAGCAAGAGGACAGGAGGGCTGAGTGGCATGAGGCCTGAGGTATGTGCCTTATGAAAGCATGAGAAAGAGAGGTTACCTCTCAGGCCTGCCCATTTGGACTTGGAGCAGCTTCCTTGAGGTGGTTGGGCCTGGATAAGGGCCCTTCTATACACCTGCTCTGGAAAGTGTTTCAGGTCAGAATGGTGCACTACCAAGATCTCATTTCCCTGTCTCCTACAGAAGGGGACACAACTCTAAGCAAACCCAAAGCCCTCCATCCCAGGGAATCCTCTGGAAGGGAGAGATTAACAGAGGCCCAGGGAGGAAAGGGAAGACACACGACCAGTGAGTCTCTGGAAGCCGGCTCCTTCTAGGCACGCTGTCAGATGCACCACCTGGCTCTGGATCTTACATTCACTTCTGGGGCTGATGTCCCTTAGGTTGAAAATGTTTTCCTTTAAAACAGACTACCAGAGGGAAGGCCACAGGACCAGAATGTGTAAGGGCCCCTAGAGGATCTTTCCCTTATAAGGGACACAAAAATGTAATAACTCTCATGCATTGAGCTGCTCCTGGTGGCCCAGCACCAAGCTGTGAGCTTTCAAAGGGTCCTCTCACTAAGTCCTCCAAACAGCCCTGCAATTAAGGGGCTGGCGTCCTCCTGTCCCCCCTGACCCAGAGCAGAGGCTAAACATGGGGGAAGCAGGAGATAGCAGCATGGGCCTCTTCCTCCAAGGCCTGGGCTCTTCCCACTGCACCTTCCTGAGGCTCCACCACGCACATCATGAATGTAGAACTAAATACCTTTTGTCATTTTAACCAAAAATGTGTGTTGGTATCTTAAGCATGTCTTTTTATTTTTATTGAATATGGACAAATTACGATTGTATATATTTAAGGGATACAAAGCGATATTAGTCACACACAGCGTAGAGGAATGGAATCAAGCTAATTAACATATCTATTATTGTATTATAAATACTTCCCATTTAGTCCTCTTGTCGGAATGAAACTGTACCCTTAATGAAGCAAGTCTTTTTACTCTGATGAGTTGACACCTGAGGTCTCCCAGACCCCTCAGGCCTAGACAACTCCCTGAGACAGCAAATGACCTGCCTTGGTGTAGGCCTTTCATATGCAAACCAACCAATGGCCGCTGGGCCACTAGGCCATTGTCCCAGGGGCAGCTCCCATACCCCAGAGTCCCATGAAATTATTCCAGGTGGCTGTTCATAAACCTCCTTACCCTGCCTAGCCAGGTCCTTCCCAAGGAAAGCACAGTGGAGGCCCAGCCTGTGCCTTTTTCCCTGGTCTGCCTATGTGGCTCCATGTGGTATGTCCCTTCCTCTTGGGAACTATAACAGTCTTTTCAAGAGCAATCGTCTCCTGGTCTGTTGGCCTCACCATACCCGAATCACAATAAAACCCCCTGCATTCTGAATACACTGTTTAAACCTGCTTACGGGCACACACTCATTTAAGCCTGACCACCCCATGAGGTTAGTATGCTCCTTTTACTGGCAAGAAAACTGAGGCTCAGAACTGTGGAGTCACCAGCCCAAGGCCACACGGGCAACTTGGCTCCACACTCAGGAGTAGAACAAACTGACAGCATGCTGACTGTCAGCCCCACAGTCATTTAATAAAAGCATAATTCAATGCCCTGGCACTGAATCAGGGGAGGCAGAGAGCAGGTATGAGTGGTCATAGGTGGGTTTGTGCTGTGGCCCCTGGGGCAGGTACAGGACTCTACCAAAAGGGGCCATTCTAAGCAGCTGCTCGACAGACACAAGGCAAACCCAGGGAATGTGGATAGGCTGGGCCACCAGGGAATGCATCCCAGGCTTCCGCCAGGCTGGCCTCCCAGAAAAAGCACAGAAGGACAGCTCCCAGGCCTGCGCCCAGAGCCATCCCCAGCATCTACCCCTCCGCCAGCCCCAGCCTAGATCAGCAGAGACGACTGCAGGAGGGTCGGAAAGAGTGTGAGAAGTAGGACAGGCTGCAAATGGGAGGATGATAAGGACAGGCGAGGCGACATTGCCCCCCTAGGCCACAGGACTCAGGACACCAGAAGGCTGCTCCAGAGTGGGGGGTGAGGCGGGGTGCAAATCCTCCAACTTTGATGAGGCGCAGCTGCCTGGCACATGACTTCACCACGTCACTCAGAGGGTGTCTGGGTGACAGCACACAGATTCCCATCCTGGCCCACCTTGTCCCTTTCTCTCAGGAGGTCATCCCACTCTACCCACTGGGACAAGTTCTCTCCCAGTCTCCATAAAACCACTTGTCACATAGTAGACCTGGAAATTCTTCTTTATCTCTCGAGACTTCAAACCAAGGGAAGCTGGGATCGAGATCTGCATGGGAGACAAGGAATGTGTTCAGCCAGTGTCCCCTTGACCCACTCCAGGGTTTCCAACCAAGGCCACTGGCTGCTCCTCCCTGGGTCTGAAGCTACACAGCAAAAGCCTGGCTTTGGCAGCTGTGAAACCTCTCGGGTAGGAAGAGGAGAGTCCTCCGACCCAGCAGAGACAGGGCGGCATGTTACCTGAGAGGCAAGCCTGGGAATCCCAGGGCCTGGCTCCGGATGGCTCCAGCAATATTCGCAGAACCAATGGTTACACAGTTACCGAGGACACGTGCCGGGAGACAAGGGAGCAACATGGGTGTGTGAAGGGCCACAGATGGCTTTGAAACGTGACCTCCTTCCAGGCTCCTGGGCATCTACCCCTCTGGCCCTTCCGGAGGCTTCCACCAGCTGCTGAAGGATTAGGGAGGGCAGGTCGGCCACCACCAGCCAGGAATGAGGGTGCTGGGAGCACAGCTCGGCTTCTAGCCTGTGAACTCATATGGGGTCCCTGAGGTCCCGACTCTGAACTCGCCACAGCCTCTCCTACACATTTGTGGAAACTGCCACCTCACATTCCTCACACCTCCCGTCAGAGGCAGAGCCCCATCTCTCTGTGACTTCCAGGAGTATTCTGCTTGGCATCTGTCACCTCTGGAGGCTCCTCTGTTTTTTGAGACTATCTGTTCTGCTGACCTCCCTGGTGGTTCTGCAGCCCATTTCACAAGCCAGCGCTGGGCCCAGGCGAGCGAGCAGGCACCAATTCATTGATGAGCTCCCACTTGAGAGCTCATCTTGGCCACAGGACTAGGCACTTGTGGCAGGTGCCCAGACGCAGGGGGAGGGCCTATGCAGCAGTGTGCCTCCTTAATTGCCTGACACCGTCACTCATGCTCTCCTGCCTCCCACTCCAAGAGGGGGAGCACGAGGTTCTTCATCCCAATTACTCACAGGCCCCTTGGCCTTCCCTGCAGCCTCAGCTCACCTGTCCACAGGCATTTTGCATGATGCGCCTTTCCTCTTGGCCATTCCCTCTTGCTGCCAAGAGGCCCTGGGACTTTAGGGAGTTGTCGGCCTCTGGCTCTGCTCCTGCACACAGGCACATCCTGCAGCACCACTGGACACCCCGGAGCTGATGCTCCTCGCTACCTGGGCAAGTCGGCACTGCTGACAAACAGTGCCCCTGCTCCCCTGCAGTCCTGAGCATTGCTGGGCACTCACCCCACATCCCACATGGAGCCAGGGAGCAGGGTTGAGAAGGGAGTGTGGCGAGGTCTCAACTCACCTCCTAGGCCCGGTGGGAAAAGCGGGGAAGGGGCCTCACAGGCCCTAGGTATATGGGGTGAGAGGCTGGAGTGGCTGGGCCTCTTCATCAGCCATCCATCTCTTTGTGACCAATAGGGCTGTCCCCTGCAGCCTGCCCCCTCCCTGCTCCAAATCATCCAGCCTGGAGAGTCACTTGAGTTCAAGCCCCCGGGAAGGTAAGGAAGATCAGTGAGTCACATCTATTAGGTGAGTTGGCACCACCAGGTGTGAACAGACACCCGCGGCTGTTTTCCAAGGGGTGGTAGAAAAAAGATTAGAGAGGAATAGGAGCTGCAGCAGCTGCCGAGCCATCTCAGGGCACAGGCTAGAAAAAGAAAAGGGGGAATGGCCAATGAGGGGGTACCAAACATACCAGAGTCTGCACAAAGTCCACCAAAGGGAGACTGCCCTAGGACAGACAGCTGCACCCTCTCACTTTCCCAGAGAAGGGAAAACTTCCTCCAGCAAGCAGAGTCCCACAAAAGAAGCTCCAGGGGCCAGGGTCAGGGCAAGTCCTGCCATCTACATTGCTAGCCTCAGGGCCTCCTGCAGACCCTACCTGTCCCTCCTGTCCCCCGCAATCCTACCCTGACCCATCTAGGCAATAGAACCTGCTGGAACACCTGTACCCACTTCAGTTACACAGTCCTGCAAGACCTGGGGAAATGCTTCCTAAAGGGGACACACAAAAGAAGGAAGGAACTGTACCAAGACCCATGCAATCATTAGCAGACTCTGGGTGCTTTTGTTTTCCTCTCTATACTGCTCTTA